ATATGTATATATGTATATGTATGTACATGTATATGTATGTACATGTATATGTATGTACATGTATATGTATGTACATGTATATGTATGTACATGTATATGTATGTACATGTATATGTATGTACATGTATATGTATGTACATGTATATGTATGTACATGTATATGTACATGTATATGTACATGTATATGTATATGTATATGTATATGTATATGTATATGAGAGAAATGGAGAACCTTGGTACCAAGTTGCTTAAAGCAACTTGGTAGTGATGTGGTCTAATCTTGTCCCTACATCATACCTCGAAGATAGAACCTTAACCACCATTCATCAACTCTAATGTAGATGTAGGGACAAGATTAGGCCACATCACTATCAAGTTGCTTGGAGCAACTTGGTACCAAGTTTCTCCATTTTTCTCATATATATATATATATATGAGAGAAATGGAAAAACTTGGTACCAAGTTGCTCCAAGCAATGATATAGATACTAAGATATAAAAATATATAATATAATTTTAATATAAATATATATATAATGTAGTTATAAGTATACTTATATGTCTATATTATAGAATTATACTTATTTAAGTATATATAAGTGCATAAGTATAATTATATATAAGAAATTTGCATCTAGTATATATAAAAAAAATAAGTATATCATATAAGTAAATTCTATTACGGTACTTAAACAAGCATAATATAAGTATGTACAAATACATATATAACTATATAATACATATTTATAACTATATATAAGTATGTACAAATACATATATAACTATATAATACATATTTATAAATAAGTAATATATATTTATGTGATTCTCTCTCTCTCAAGTTATAACTTATAATTATAAACAATATATTTACATATAATATATGTATATATAATATATAGCTTTATAATAATTTGTAAGTATATAATAATACATATTTATAAAATATAATAAGATTAACCTAATTTTTAACAATTTTTATTAAAAAAAGAAAAAAGAGAACAACCAGGCTGGCACGATGTCCTGCCCGATCGGGCCTGACCCGGGATAACCGAGCCCGGGTCCGGGTTTTGCCCTGCCCGAACCTGGTTTTTTGAGCCTGGCCGGTTGGAAAGCGCTAAGTGTAGTATCCTGGATAAATGAAAAAAAAAAATCTCAAAATTACTTCTTATTTTAGAAAAAGTCATACTAATACTATATATAACAGTACAAAGAGTAGTGATAAGAAAATCATATTACGCTCGTATTGGAAATAACAAATGGGGTCCCTTCTCATAATCACAATGAGAAATTTTGAGCTTTTAGCAATAAATTATGAGTTTTTATCGAGCCCGTAATTTTTTTTATTTTTTCCCTTGTCTTGGTACAGCAAATACAATTGTAGATCTCCTTATTTGTCTATGATTTTCCTGGATAAATATGTCTAGAAATAGCACTGATGATGCTTCTCCCAGACAATCACTTGACTCTTATTCATTGGGGGGATAATGTGATAATTTTGGTGGTTTTATTTTATAGTGTTATTCATTAGGACAATGGAACAAGTATATTTCCTTTTTATGTTATTGATTTTTTGTAACACTAGTGAGACAATTTCACCACTTGGGATAAAATTACCCTTCATATACAAAAATTTTGTCCTAAAGGGGTATTAGTCAATTGAGACATTTTCATGCAAGAGAGGATAATTGTTAAAGTGGAATAATTTTTCGCTAGTGGGATATTTTAGTGGGATAAATAGGAACAATTTTGTGAAGCGAGATATTTTAATAAAATAACGTGGGATAAATTTTTATAATCATAAAATATATATTTATGTATTTTAAAGATATAAATACTATTTATGTATTTTAAACTTACTATTATTGATTGATAATTACTTACAAGAATGTTCTTTACTATTAAATAACTTTTGGTTAGACTATAAGATATTGACAATTATTATTATAATGATGATCTAATGATGATGATACCCATAATAGGAAAGAAGTAAAGAAAAAAGATATAAAAATAAAAAATAACAAAATAAATATGAGTTTTAGTATTTTACTACCTAGTTCCAAGCTAAAACTTGGAATAATTTGAGAGACTAGAACCCTTATTTTTGTATAAAAAAATAAAAAAAAGGATAATTTTGTATCATTATTCCAATTCTAATTTTGTTAGAGTTCTACTTGACTAACACTTTAAAATTTTATTCTACTTTTAGTTCTATGTGACTAACACCTAAAAAATTTATCCCATAAATTATCTCAGTTCTAAATTTAAGTTCTAGATGACTAACTCCCTCTAACAGTAAAAAATTATCTCATCCTTCATATTGGAATAATTTTGTTTCACTTTGAAGGCAATTGAGATAATTTTTAATTAAACCTTTTAGTATTACTTAACTAATAAATATTAATTATATTATAAATATATGACATGATATATAAAATATAAAGTAATAATATGTTCAATATATTATATTATATAATCATGTAATAAAATAAATTATTATTATAGTTCAATTTATATGTATAATTTATTTTATGATATTTATTATATATTATTATGCAATATCACATACAATATTATATAATAATACAATATATTTATTAAAATATTATATAATACTTTAATAACATATATTATTATATAATATATTATATTAATTGTAGTTGATATTTTATTGTAGCAATTATATTATAGTGTATTATATTAAACCAATATAATAATATTAAACTAATATAACAATATTATATATATATATATTATGATATAATATAATATAATACTATAGTTTGAAATAATATAATATATTATACTAAATATTATAATATTTTATACAGTACATTATATCCTATGATACTATATTATAATATATTAAATTAAATAATATATTATTAAAGTATTATATTAAATATATTGTTCATATATTATATCAATTATTATATAATGTAGCATAATAATATAATGTAATATAATATAATAATTAATTATATTAATTAGTCATTATAATATAACATATTATATTTTTGTATAAATAAATATTGTATTTTATTAAATATTATATTATTAAAATATTATATTAAATATATTAATTTTATATTAAATTATTATATAGTATAACATGCTAATATAATATAATATAATAAGTAATAATATTAATTAGTAATTATAGTACAACATGTTATATTTTAATTTAAAGTAAAATAATGTTTATATTATAATAACATACTAAATAATATACTAAACTAATTGGATAAGTTAATTTAGAAGTAATTAATAGATAAAATTATATTTGTCCTAACCAAAGAACCCCTCTAAAATTATATATACTAAGGTGTCACATCATCAATTATCCCACATGAATTGTCAATTCAAAGGCTCAAATTGTCTTATTATCCCACTTTATCCCACTCAAAATATCCCAAAGGGATAAAATTGATCAATTGGAACAATTTTTCAGCTTAGCCCCAATTTGTCCTAACCAAGAACCCCCCTAAGAACAAAATAACGACTTGTCAATGTCTGGTCATATTACATATCCCTTTTCGGCTAGACAATGTGGCGTTCACTTTCTCCCAAGCCAACAGAACTCTCATTTGCAAATGATGGATTGCATGCGACTCCCAGTAATATTGAACGTGAGAGTTATTACTAATGTCGTCATATTACAAATCCCTTTTCGGCTAGACAAAATATGACATTCACTTTCTCCCAAACCAACAAAACTCTCATTTGCAAATGATGGATTGCATGCAACTCCCGGTAATATCGAACATGAGAGTTATTACTACGAGCGTATTTTATATTATAATAATATACTAAATAATATACTAAACTAATTGGATAAGTTAATTTAGAAATAATTAATAGATAAAATTATATTTTAATAAGGTGCAACATCATTAATTATCTCACATGAATTGTCAATTCAAAGGCTCAAATTGTCTCATTATCCCACTTTATCTTACTCAAAATATCCTAAAAGGATAAACTTGTTCAATTGAAACAATTTTTCGACTTGGCCCCAATTTGTCCCAACCAAGAACCCCCCTAAGAACAAAATAACGACTTGTCAATGTCGTCATATTACAAATCTCTTTTCGGCTAGACAAAATATGGCGTTCACTTTCTCCCAAGCCAACAGAACTCTCATTTGCAAATGATGGATTGCATGCAACTCCCAGTAGTATCGAACATGAGAGTTATTACTAATGTCGTCATATTACAAATCCCTTTTCGGCTAGATAAAATGTGGCGTTCACTTTCTCCCAAGCCAACAGAACTCTCGTTTGCAAATGATGGATTGCATGCAATTCCCAGTAATATTGAACATGAGAGTTATTACTACGAGCGCATAGACATATCCAGTTATTACTAGGGGCGCATACGATGCAGATACGTCATATCCATATTCGCTTATCAATCACGAATTCAGATTTGAATATTGACATGCCTCGATAAGGAAAATTTATATCCATATCTACTAAAATCAGATATGGATATAAAAGCAGAAATACATGATGATACAAAACGAATATGTAAAAACTAGATAATAATAAAAAAATATACATAGTTCATATGATACAAAAAAGTTAACAAATATGCTCATTATATATATAAAAAAAATATCTAACATTAGATATCTTGATCATCAAAATTTCACCCCAAATTCATTAATTAAAAGGTTGAAACTATTGCAACAAATATAACCAATATGTATTCAATATTTTAGATACGAATACTGTAATACATAACCCTATACATAACCATATCCGTTCGCTTATAAATTTTAGTAAACATGTCAGGATACAGATATTTCCTTTGATACGGATAATTTGGATATTTCCTTAGATACAGATAATTTTGTGCACCGCTAGCTATTACTCTAGATGTAAGATGATGCCAGCTATATGATAACAATAGTATTAGACTCCGCGAAAAGATTTCAAAAAAATGGCTTAACAACATTACTGAGTGACAACAGTAGTAATTAATAAATGCAAGAACATCTCAAAAATTAATGGCTCAGCCAAACATGTCATGGAAAAAGTGGAAAGCACTATAAGCTGGCAACCAGGTCAAAGTGTGAAATGTGTGCACATCTATCTATATTCTTAGAACCCTGATATATATTTTTCCTCCATTTCGACTCGACCCAACCTAATCCAACATTCCAAGGCCAGAATTTCACATAAAACACAGGGTGAAACATACCTGAGAACATGATCATAATTCAAATTACAGAACCCCATCAGACAGACTATAATACTACAAATATCAATGAACTAGGATTTCCACAATTGTGAAACTTGAAGATTCACAAGCCTCAACTGCTTCTGTACAGGGAGATAATCTCTCAAAGCAACGCAGGTCTCATAAACTGAGCGAGCCAAAGTAGACTTGAGAGCTTCATCATCTCTGATGCCACCTTTGCTAGTTAAACTGTCCTCATTACCAGCTAGATGTGCTGCCCACACGCAGATACGCTCTGTTGATATCCATAGTTTGTCTGCTGCAGGTTCTGCTACACGTCTCCAGCTTGTCTCAGCAAGGAGACAAGGCAGAGTGGTGGGCAAATCACTCAAAACTGTATCTTGATCGACTATAAGAAGTGGCATGTATTTGCAACAGATACCAGATAGTAGCCCTACAAATCGCAGTGCCTGCAGTAGTGCAGAAGATACGGAGTTGGTGTTAACCTTTACTGACCATGAAAATATAATTACAAACAATTATGTCAGCGCCATATTCCAACATTTGTCTTTTTTTTTGTTTTCTCGATATTAGTAATTAGTCCCTTAAATCATTGATATTTCAAATAGTCCCTTGTTGCTATTAAGTCCACCAATTTGTAAACTTATAAGAATTGGTGGGACCAGATTGCAATAACATTGGTTTGAGGGACTGATTTTGAAACAACTTATAAGAATTGAGGGACCTAAAAGCAATCTCAATGATTTGAGGGAATAATTTCAAAATATTAAAGATTCTGAGGACTAATATAAAAAAGCCATTATTTTTTTCATTGTCTGGTTGTGGTGGTGTCCACCTCATCGGGGTGGGGTGGGGGGGAGGGGGTGACAATAAACAAGGGTGCCTTGAGAACCGAAGCAGTCACTTAACAAACAAAGCAGTAAATTTAACTCCTAAACAGAACTGAATGGAAGAATAGGATTCGGTGTAATTAGAGGTATGGAAGAAACAAAACGGTTGACTTAACAAAGGCAATAAACCTAAATAGAAACGAATGGAAGAATAGGGTTCATACACGACCCAAAAATTTGGCATAAAGGTCTATTTTGCTGTTGAAAACATAAATAAGAACGGAAGGTGATATACTTCAGCATACATGGAATGAGAGGGGAAAGAGAAATGGCCATAAGTTATGCTCAGTATGGGTTTCAACTAGGTCGATCAAGAAGAAAAAGAAACACTCACCGTAGAAGGATATTCTGCCATGCAACTGATCTCTAATGCATTAAGAAGCCAGTGAACTTTGGTGTTTCCTTCTGCAGTGGAGACGGCAGCAGCAACATCCATGAGAGCAGTCCACCAGGCACCTGAAATTTATGGGACATTCCACTATAAATACAAGTGAGAAATTTGCACATATATATGGTTACTCATACGAGCAATATTTACAGCAAAGAACACAAGTTAGTATTATATGCATGCACAGGAAAGCAACACAGAATATAACTGTATGCAGAGATAAATTATAAGAAGTATTGTTAATTTGCAACTATATATTTCTCATGTCAGGTGCAAAACTGACCTTCTAAACTTGTATTCAATAAGTAAGCTTTTATCTTATGAAGCTCAGAGTTGGGAATGCAACCAACCCTAACCAGCCTTGCTCTGGCTGAAATTCTCTTTGCTACTTCATCGACAAGGATTCCTCCATGGATCTTATCAATATCCGGAACCTAGAAGGAGATGGAAATTAGTTACAACAAATAAACATGCTACACTGAAATAATTGATGTTTGGGAAGTTTTAAACTATTATGATAAATGATGCTTATATTTGCAAGTCTAATTGGTCAATTGAATATAGCTGAAGTCTTATACAACTGAAAAATTAGAGACTATAATGACTTGCCAGTTCAAAAAAACCTTAGCAAGTAAACATCACATTGTACAGAAATCAAGGTTCAGACATGATCCATCAAATATGAAACCAAAATACTTTACACATCCATAAAAGAGAAGTGTCAAGTCCATTTTCTATTATTTCCTTCATGGATAATCAGACATACATGATGTCCAAGCTCAGCTCAAGTTCCTCTGTGGTCATATCCCGGTTTTCCTATAAGCAAATTTACAGACTTCAAGTTATAAACCAAGTTAAATATGATCAGTCTTAAGCATCCTGTGAACATATGAACTTCCTTTTTTTTTTCTCTTTTTGTACAAATGCTTTTAAAAGTTAAAAGGCAAAACACATAAGGGTGTAATAGTTTAGAATAAGGAATAACAAAAGAACAATAAATTGTGGAAAGTTCCGGAAATGAGAATATAAGCAATACCTGCAGAATGTCCATCAGCCAATCCTGTGAAGCCTTAGAGAGGCATTTTATAGCCTCTGACCACTCCTCCATAGCAACAGCCACCCATGCTTCTGGTTTGGCATCATATATCAACACAGGTAAAATGGTGAACAAACACTCCATGCATTTTTCTATATTTGGTGTATAAAGCGACTCTTTAAACTTTCCATCGAGGCATTTACGTAGACCTTTCCAGAATGAAACTCGCAATAAGGTTCTCTGATCTAGGTCAAAATTCAAGTACAAACCACCTGAGGAACTGAAGTATGCAACTAACTCTTCTGAGAGTTTATCCAGCTTTGAACCAGAAAATATCTTAAGTAGGTCCGGTAAATGGTGTAACAATGTACATTGCAAATTCAGCTCCAGAGTCCTGAACCTGGATAGGTCAGTGAGCTCATCCACAAAGACGAGGAGGGAACTGACACCATTTGCATGAGTCAAAGAAAAACATATACATTCCTCTCGAAGCAATTTGGCAGACTGCTCTGTACCAAGAGAACATTTGGCTCCATATTGCATGCAGCTTCTGATAATGGATCCCCAATCTAAAGCAGGCAACCTTGGAGCTTTTGAAAGGCACTTTAAAATGCTTGAAACTGTAGTTGCACGTAAGACCTTATCCGGCTGCAAGAAAACGTGAAAAATGAAAGAAGATAGAGTTACTTCTGTGGAATAAATAGAAAGTCTTATGTTGCTTTAGAAGTACAATCACAGATCTCAATGTGTCATCTAAACATGAAGCTGCTATGTGCAGTGTTTATAGTAAGTACAATTGACCAGTTTCACCCAAACAAAAAAACTTTTATCTTCCCAAAAGGTTTTATATTGTTTGTAAAATTAATTCTAAAATTGTAAGATTAATTCCCGCACATATAATATTGAATATGATGGGCAATAAACCAAGTCCAGCAACATAAGTTTCAAGGATCGCTCTCGAACATATGCTGCAAACAGAAAGACAAGCCCGAGTGCAGAAAATTATATATGAATGCATTAGTACAGACGTCCAAGAAGAAATAGACATAAAAAATATATTAATTTTGGAATTTACCTTATTAAAATCAGTATCCCTGAGCCACAGGCACAGTTTAAAAACTAAGCTGTCCTCAGCAAAATTTTGAGATGGCAAAGCAGTATCATTAACACTACCTTGTGGGTTAATATTCTGAAGCTCCTTTGACCAACATTTTTCTCTGAGAAATGAAACAGCCCATGCTGAGTACTCTTTTATCTGCTGATCTTTAGATTCCTTTGCCAGCAGAAAAAGTTCCTGAATGGTTGATGTTGAAAGGGACTCACAGATAGGGCTTGAAAGTAATGAGCCCATGATAAAGGTTGAATCCTGATTGATGAATCATTTCAAATTAGATAAAATCATAATATACATATATACATACATGTGTGTGTGTGTGTGCGCGCGCGTGTGAGTGTGTGAAAGATAGTAATAATTACCTTAATATTATGCTGGAAAGGCGTCTTAGCATATACATGAGTAAGATCACCAGCACCAGCGCCAAATACATTAACCACACCAAGCATCCCCCCGAACTGGACATAAGGAGGGGACAAGTTAGTGTATGCATCTCTAAACATTTCCAGCAGACATTTTACCTCACCGAATCTCATAGATTGTGTTCCATCACTCAAGATGCATGAGACAAAGGATCCAGCTCCAACACAAGATGCCATCATTAAATTCTGATACAAAGTTCCAGATTTCTTCGAACATCGAAGAGCAGAAAGTAGTGAACCATAACGATAGATGAGATCAGAGTCATTGTCAATGAGTTCAGTTCTCTGGCAAAATGCCATAACAGTGGGTAGTACAAGACATGAGCCCATTGCTAAGGGTACCTCAGTCATTTCTCTACAAAAGACGGAACCTTGAGCAGACGAATCAACCTGAGGAACCCATGAAATAAGCATTTCTTTTATTTTGAGTACAGCATCATATGCTCCAGACCTGTATATTGCAACAACAGAATTTCCTATACCAAGGACAAGTCCTGCAATACCCCACGCATCTTCCTCCACGTTATTAATGTTTCCATGAGGCAAGTCGAGAAAATCTGCACTTAATGGATCTTCTCGACCTGTTAAAAAATTCTCACAGAGAGTACTCAGGGAATCAGATGCAGAGGGACAAATCTGGCTCAATGCTGTTGACAAAGTTCTAATTGTTTTGTGAAGCAACATCGTTTCCGCTAACCTGGCAGTACTTCCTTCAGGACTGGGATTATCCACTTCTATCCTGGTGAGAAGATCTTGACAAGCAAATCCCAATCCCACTCCACAGGCTCCTTTAACAAGATAGCTTTTGCAGTTATTGACTGCCTGGCGGGAGGAAAAATAAAGAACTTCTGATGAGCTTTGTCATGTATCTAAGCGAAAATAATTCCATAACTTGAATTGATGAATGATGTATAGCATTTCAAATTAAACGAGTTCTAGACTAGCTGCCTGATAATAAGTAATAAGATGAATTTTCCTTTTTTTTTTTGGGTTTGGGGGGGTTCAAGGCAGGACCTAAGGCTGCTCTAAAGGAAATTGTACTTCAATCACATGCATATATTCTTCTCCGTTATACTGTTTGCACAAACAACAACAGCACCTGTCGACAACTTTCAGGTTTCAACCTAGCTTTGATGCATTTAAAGAGCTTGAAGCCTCATTTTAGCTTCCCCTTTAATAGAACAAAGTAGTGTTTTATTTATAACTAATAAGAGAAGGAAGGTTGTGTAACTAGTTGAAAGTTTTAGTCGCTTGTAAATATCAGATGTTGAATTGTCAAAATGTCAGAAAAGTATATGCTTCTTCTTTTTTTTTTTAACTCAGAAGAAGATAACAAGGAACATTTTTGCACCTTAAGAAGTTCAGTAATAATTCGAGATTTATGTGCTCTGTCAGTTGCATGCAAACAGTTGTAAACCAGTCCCAATGAGATAGCAGCTGACCACTGCTGATGTTCGTGTTCATGCTCAACCAACCATTTCAGAAGTAAGTCTGATGCAGCAGAGGTAACTGAATGGGTTGTTGAAGGTACGACCTGAAGAAAATGAGTAGTGCAACAATAAGAGCATAGGCAAGAACATAGTGTTAATAAACAGATCACACAGTACTAATGGGATTCACTATAAATTCAAGATAGTTAAATAGTCGATGAGGGCTGATTAATGGAACACAGAATGCATGTGACAGAATTGTACTATCATTGAGTATTATCTTCAAGTTAATTAGACAAAAGTTACAAAAAAATGTCTTTGGTATGCGAGTGATCAGTTGTTGAGCAATTCTCACCTTATTTTGGTATTTGAAGGGCAATGTGCTAAGTTATTAGCTATTAAATGTGGGATTTTAGAAGTTTATTCATTTATCAGGTATGGGGTTAAGATCTACTGGACATCAGACGGTGCACATCGAACGGAGGAAAGTACTAACTCAATCAGATAACCTTAGTGGAGAGTTTCAGAAAGTGCCACACCCAGCCATACAGAAAACTGCATTTTCAATTCATGTGAATTCTGCATTTGATTCCTTGTGATACGGATACCCAACTAGGACTATTTCTATTCTATCTAGTTTGACTATACTCTTAACATAGTTCTTCGGCAACAACTCGGAGATGGGCACTAAGAGCAAGTCACCTAATTGACAGTTGAGGTGAATCCCTTCCATCCATAGTAATATTTAATGCAATTACATTTAAAAGTCCTTACCATATTCATTCCAATTAATGCAAAAAAAAAAAGAGCACTGCAGTTTGAGCTTTACCGTGCAAAGTGCACCTATTGCTAAAGCAATATTCACAGCAACTCGTGGAATAGCTTCCGCTGCAGCCTTGCACAAGATCTGCATGGACACATCCAGACAAACCATTTACATAGATATAAATAACTGCTGCACTAACATGGTAATAGAAAAACACTAATTATAAGTAGGAACCAGGCACTGCAGTTTTAAAAAAAACATTACAGGAAAATAGATAGCACTTGAAATTCATTAAGAAATAAAAATTAGATGAACCAAGAAAATGGAAACATAAAAGAAAACTGGTATTAGAAAGAGATAGTCATGGTTTACAATACATTGTCCCCAGGACTTTTAAGTACAGTTTCTTTTGGTTCTCTTTTTAATTAGCTAAAATAGGGAGGGGGAAAACAGTAGTCTCATGACAATGCATGATAGAACTAAACTTGCGAAAACGAATCTAAAAGCACAAAACAATAATAAAAGAGGTTCAACGATTGTAGTATTTAACAAGATATAAATGATAAATATGCAAAAAGAAGGAACTTTGACATTTAATTACCCCTTAAAGTTTAAGAATATAGAACAGGACACACAATCTACTCATATGTAGTTGCTGCAGGACCACCATCAAAATATAAACAGGAATACTGGCAACAGGTTAGATATTTCATTTCAAAAATCATATTGATGAGAGAAAGAAGCAAGCATGATCATCTAACGGATAATGCATAGTTCTCATAGAGTAGATTCGCTGACTAACCTTACAGAGAGGAAAATTAAAATATAATCAGTCAGTTTGTTATGGCAAACTTAATTGTGGTTGTAAAGATTCAGTATATTCTAAATATTATCAATCTTCTACCTTAAAAAATGAAGATCAATTAACAATCCAAATTCCAAAAAAGATATAAAAATTATATCAATATAGACTAGGAGACTACACATAAAATTGCAAATGCTACCAACCGGCTAATTTTCAACTCCTAGTGGTTGATCAATTAAAATTTTACTAAATTTTTCATGAATCATGGGGATATAAAATCTATAGAAAAAAGGACCAAATTGTATGCAGAGGTTTCCCTGCCGGTTGGTACATCATATGCTAGTACAGAGATTTTCACAAGGCAGGGGCACAAACATAATATCACAAGACCACACAAGGAAGGGAAAATATTACAAATCCGCAAATACAACCCTTAGATGAAAGAAGTGGACCTTAAAGATGTCATGGGCAGCCTTGGAGTGTTTATCTGATACATCACGTGATCCCTTAGAATCATCATGCATGATCACTTCCCTTATCCATCGGCAAATGAATGTCTTCCATGATTGCAATGCAAGAAGGGCAAATATAATATTTCTTGATACATGAAGAGATTCAGAAATTTCCAGTAGTGCCTTTTCATATGCAGAATGGATTTTAGCCAAGGCCTAGAGGTAGAAAACAACCAGTCAAGCTTCTTATATGCACAAAAATATATTCCATCTGTGATGTGAGATGGGGAAGATGCATAAAGGAGTCTCTAGAAGTATAGAAAAGTGCCTTTGATTTTCCCTGCAAGTCTTTAGGAGTAAATACAAGAGACAACAAGGCTGCCCCAGGTCTAGCATCAAGTCTGTAGCTCCCTGTAATATACATTGTAAATATACAACATAAAAAAAAAAGAATCAAGGGGAAGTAATAAATGGGTGAAGAAATAAAACATCCTGCTATGCTTAATTAGCACTTCCTCACATTGACGCCAAAGCAAATGAAAAATTTACAATGGAACCTTTTTGAGTGACCTACAGACTACATGCAAAATGATTTATGCCTATTTCAATAAATCTTCCAACTGTTACATAGTGACATACATTGATGCACAAATACATTTCAGCCAATTATCAACCGACAACTACAGTGCAATACACAAGCACATCATTTGAAGTGTGTATACTGTGAGTAAAATTTAATTAAATGAATCCTAATAAATACTCAAAATATCCTGATACCTGCAACGACAGCTCAATAAATACTCAAACTTACCTAATTTATGTATTCAGCATAGTACTAATATAACAAATTAACAATGGATCTTTTAATTAGCTGCTATTCGGAAAGATGAATACTCCCACATCTCTCCAAGTAGAACAATGTGAAGTAAAAATCTGAATATGAACCTTGACCTTTTCGAATTTGACATCATTTTTGTAGTTACACAGTCTGCTTAACTCGAGGTTTTCCATGTTCCATAAAACTTGAAACTACAGTTGGTGGTTTTAAGAACATGTAATATAAGCAACCAAACGAAATATATCCACAAGGCTTAATCCCTGTTTCATGCAATAATAGGAAACAAAAAGAAGACATCAAAATAGTATGTTGGGTTAAGTATTCAACAACCTAAACTATCTTTTTCTACTACATAAAGACTTGATCCCAAAAGTTCACACTTCCCACACAAAATCCAATCTCTTACCAGCTGGGGCATGCCTCACAGGCAACAGCCTCAACCAATTACTGCTGTAAAACACTTCTATTTAGAGGTTGCACGGAGCAAATCTGTGCAGATGGGCAATTCTCAAGTCAAAATATCAACTTACCAGGCTTTTATTGATATAAAATTATCTAAGAGAACATTATATTGCTTAATGATGCATTCAGAAGACTACTTAACTAAAGAGAAAGCTTAACCGGCTTCCTTCACTTGTCTATGAAATTCATTTGAGAAGGAAGCAAAAGGTTTTCCCAGTATACCTTGAGAAAAGATAACTTGAGGAAGGACATCCAGTAATTTTTCAACCTTGTTCACCATGGCTCTTTTCTGTGTATGAACTCTACGCCTATTTCTGAGTAAAGAGTGACCTCAGTCAATTTTAATATTGCCAGAGAAAGATGTATAGATGGTTAAACGGTTTAATAGAACTAACAGGTGGTCAAAGTTGATAATCTTGATTTCGAGTTCCTCCATTGCCATGAGTACTTTTGTATCATCTTCATCAACAAGACACCGCAAATTGGTTTGCCTGAAATCAGGAAATGTGTCCTGAAGATACTCTACCTGCAGATGTCTTACAATGAGTCAATGAGAAACCCATAATGTCCTGAACTTATTAAAAAATGGGAATTAATTAAGAAAGACGAGCAAATGCCAGCAATATGAACAAATATTTGATAGCATAAAAAAATAATTTCCCAAGAACTTCAGAGAAGAGTCACCTCATACTGGGACAAGGCCTTGAAGGCAGACGCACGTGCTTTCACCCAAGATGAAGCAGAATGCCTATTTTTAGATATTGCGACATCCCATAAAATTTTTGTAACAGTCTTCGAGCTTTCTGGATAAGCTGCCACATCCATCGCGCCCCATCTTAGTAGAGTGCATAAGCTGCAGCACAAAAAATAAACAATAGAAAATAAATTCCAAAAATGGGAAGTTGCACATGTTATTGTAATTAAAGACTAAATAGCACAAGAAAATAATGACACACAAATACAGTGTACTGTGAGGCGATGGGCTAGTACCTAGTGGTGTTTCTTGGGTAGGTAGGTGGTCGGACCAAATATTTTAAGCAACATTTACATAAAAAGACTGATCATGAAAATCCTAGCAATCACATTTTCCATTAGGCAACTATTAGAAATTGATTAATAATATGGTCTTCAAACATGGATGAGACTCCCTACATGGTTTCCTCTTCGTCAACAATAATTAATGCACAGGCATATTCTTGGATAGGTTAACAATTTCATAAGTTTTAATATGGCCCATGAGGCAGAAAAGTAGTTGCGAAGTTGACAGCTGGCTACAGGCTTCATTTTACAATTCCTCCAGGAGGAGAAATTTCTCAAACTGCAAGTGAAAGCAAAAATACTATGCCAAAAATGAAAATGAGGCCAGAATTTCTAGAAGCAAATACTAAAATGTGGCCAGCCAATTGTTGAGGTCATCTTAATGATCTATCTACTCAAATTACCCTTCAACTATTGTAAATATAACAAAATTATCCTCATCTTTCATTTCATTAACTTAACAAATGTACATTTTGGTTTTCGTTAATAAACCCTTTACTATTAATTAATGATGTAGTACTCTATAATTTAAATAGCAATTTTAAAACGTTGCTTATTCATCTTCCATATGATTAAACCCTTTCCTATCACATAATAAAACCTCTTAAACCTCCCATAATTGCTTATTCATCTTCCATATGATTAAACCCTTTCCTATCACATAATAAAACCTCTTAAACCTCCCATAACTCTCAACCTCTTCAAATAATATGACTATACTTTCCTATCACATAATAAAACCTCTTAAACCTCCCATAACTCTCAACCTCTTCAAATAATATGACTATACATCTTCCTATTATATTTTCTAATTATGATTAGTATTCATTATGGTGGACCAAATCCAAATCCCTATATATACCTCACTCTACCCTCTTAACATATCCCAATTGAATTGAAACACAAATAAATTCATCTTACTCGGAGGTCGCGTTTCTTTACCCAAATCACATAAATCACGCCCCTTTCCCCTTTCTACTCTATTTATACGCAACATTTTTATACAAGCCGGCACTGCAGACCCTCTCTCTCTCTCTCTCTAGGGCTTCTTCGTCGTTTACTATTTGGGTAAGATTTTTTTTCTTCATTTTATCTATTTTTCATCTCATTTTTATATGAAGTTTAAGTATTTGGGTCTAAAAGAATTGGGATTGGGGAGCTTTAGTACCATGTTTAAAGGGTTATCTTGGTGAGCATAATCCATCATGCTTTGCTCAATGAATCTTACAGAATTGATGGGGTTTATTCTTTTTCATCACTTTTTTGTTTTTTTAGCAGAAATAAATTATGGTATTTGTTTATTTAGACTGATTATCTAATTGCTGAGCGATTAAATCCAGCCCTCCGTAGTTCTTTGTTGGTTTTGATTGAATAATGTTTAGGGTAAATAAGAGCAAATCCCCCTAAAATATACATGATTCATGGAAATGCCCCCTAAGGTGTTGGAAGACAAGTGACACTTTGATCACCTCCTTTTTAATTTTCAAAGTTTACTGCTGATGTAAAAACTATAGCAATAGACTCGTAAAAACACGTATGCAAATATTATACTCGAAATTGATGATTATATAAAAACTCGATGATGATATGATTAAAGTTAATTATGGATGTAGCTTTTCCTACCATTTACCTTAGGGTTAAAAATACTAGAATGCTGTGTTTGGGATGTATTCTTTTGAGCAAAAGGAAATTGACTATTAAATTTATGAGGTCAGTTGCACTGATTTTATTTTGCCGAAATTCACGGATACATCTCGTGGCAGTGTCATATGATGACGTAAAAACCACGATAGTATTATCAATTTTGGTATTTATGGGTGATTTTCGCAAAACCAGTTAGAATAGTGACAGTCAGGTTGTCTGTTTCCAGTATCGACTTTTTATTCGGTAGACAGAATCTCTCTATGTCCAAGTTTCTTTTTAAACAAGTGATTTTTTCATTATTCATTCTAATGTATTTTAGTGACATATACTTGAATTGCAAGTCTTTTTAAACAAGTGATTTTTTCATTATTCATTCTAATGTATTTTAGTGACATATACTTGAATTGCAAGTTGTTAGCATTTTGAATGGTGAACACTATTCATTCTAATGTATTTTAGTGACATATACTTGAATTGCAAGTTGTTAGCATTTTGAATGGTGAACACTGGTCCACTGTTCATGTCTCAATATTCTATGTTGAGGGAATTATGTTCTAATACACTGTAAGCTGTGGAATTTATGCGTTATTTTCACACAACCGGTTTGGAATTGTGATGGCAATGATAGTCTCCTTCCATGCGGGCTGTTATTCAGTATAGCTGGAATGGATCTGAGTTAAAAGTTTCTTTTTGAACAAGTAGTGAATGCAGTTTGGTTTATTCAGTATAGCTGGAATGGATCTGAGTTAAAAGTTTCTTTTTGAACAAGTAGTGAATGCAGTTTGGTAGCTTATACTTTAATTACAAGTAGTGAATGCAGTTTGGTAGCTTATACTTTAATTGATAGTATGATCAATCTCTATCATTAACTGCAAATTGATCCATTGTATATCCTTAGATATGGCATCTGGAGCGGAAACTAAAATCGTTGTTCCAAGTGAATCCGTGCTTGAATGAGTTCAGAAAGACAAGTGAAGATTCTTGTATGTTGTGTACCGTGTTGGTGACTTGGAGAGGACCATAAAGTATATATTCTTTTCTGAAATATATCATTATTGATTGTTAATTTTTCATTATTGTGTGGCTAATTTACTCTTTTTTGTGTTTCAATATTTTATACTGAGAGTTTTGGTATGACCCTACTGAGGAAAAGGGATGTTCCAGAAGAGAAATACTCAAATGCATTTCTTGGCTTTGGACCTGAAGATTCTCACTTTGTGGTAGAGTTGATATACAGTATGTCTCCTTAACTCCGTTTTCAAACATGTAGTATATAACCTTTTGTCTTTATTTATTTATTCTATAGTTCTGAAAATTTTGATAAATTGGATTCTTTCTTCTTGTGAATATATCTAATTAGATATAACGGAAGGAAGAAGTTGCATGGATGTTATTAATCATAAGTAGAAGTCCTAATTGCTTGGGCCTGGATCTTGTAGATTTCCATCCCCTATTCATTGACAATGTCCATCTTTTCCCCCTCTAGAAATGGACTGTTGAGTTTTTGAATTCATGTGGGGATAATATTAGTTAAAGAAAACCAAATCTTATCTTCGTTACTGGTTGATGATAAAAGACAGATTGATATGTCTAAGTTGTTTGACTTCTACTTGAAAAATGTAAACTGTTTTAAAAACAGTAAACAATATGTATATCCTCTATAGTCTGTGAATTTCGTTGGACTAAATTTGGTTACGAAATAAACATAATTGAATCATGAGTGGGTTAAACCAAACTATTATATCCCGGTTGACCTCAAGACGTAGCACAGCAGAGTCAGTTTTAGCTCATAATCAATGTAGTCCATGTTGTGTGCCATTGGCTTCATCTAGATCGAGTTAAAACCCATTTTAGTCTAAGATTTGGCCACCTACTCGGAAGTTACCACCTCTATTGAGGTAAGATCTATTTCACATAATGAAGTTGGGAGCCTTGACGACATCTTTTCATACTTTTCTTAATAATGACTAAATAGATATATATATTTTTAATCATGACAACATTGACATATTATCTTCAGGCATTATGCCATGAATATCCTACATAATTTGCATCCAACTTCCACTACTACCGTTCACTACGGTTTGACGACAAACCTGATTATTCATAACTTAAAAAGAATATTCCGTGATCTTTTTATTCGCGAGGATAAGCTATTCTAACTATTCATGTTGACGAGGAATTCTATGCTAATGGCAAATTTAGATATCTATAATTCTCAAGCAATATGTTGAATGATGTTGAATCTTAATCTACAGGATTTCTATTTGAATATGTGTTTGATTGGACCATATTGAGATGTTGAATCTTAATCTACAGGATTTCTATTTGAATATGTGTTTGATTGGACCATATTGAAGTATCACCAATCACAAATTGTTCTATTTGAATATGTGTTTGATTGGACCATATTGAAGTATCACCAATCACAAATTGCTAGCACTCCTCTACGACCTCTTGTAAGTCTTGCATATATAGGCTTATTAATTTCTTGCAGATAGGTTTTTATTTATTTTGATTTCTTTTTCTTTATCATAGCAACACCTTGCTCATTTTTTATCTTCCATATAGGGTTCTGGAGCATGACCTAGCTCTGGGTTGGCACCAGTTCTTGGTAACGTCAATAGGCAATTTGGTAGTAGATTTTGCTAACTATTCCTTTGGGAGTCTGATGTTAAGTTTGTTACATCTATTTGTCATAAAATACATCATGTTTCACTTTCTTTTTTATTAAAAAAATTACCTCCTTCATGCTTGCTCCAGTACATGTTTTATTTATTTCCTGACCAAATGCTTCTGTGCCACTCAGTTATTGTGTTTTATTAACATGATCATTTGTTCTTAGGCCTAACATAGATAAAATGTGTTTATAATCTTCATTTTTATTAACTACTGCCAAAATTACCTTTCCCAGACTAACATTTACTAAATTTTGTACTTGAAAACTTTAATTTAGGTGGTAAAAAAGGAAGAACAAGTTGTTGGTTAGTACACCCTTCTCGTCGTCATGCATCGGGACAAGCCGTACATACAGGCAGCTTACTAAAAAAACACGGGTAGCAAATGATTCAAAAGAGGCTTTGGTGAATCAATAGTTCTATATGTCATTGTTTTTTGCTCAGCTTCAGTGGATCTATGCGACATCTGAATTTCATTCTAATAAGAAACTTATTGGAGCTTAATCTGAAGTGAACTCTACAGGAAATATCAATTAAAGCTGATATATATCTGTAAAGACAAATTTGTTTCTTTTTAGTTATAATCTCATGGTTTTTCACCTTTGGTTTCATCTACAATTGATTTTATCAAAGATAGAATTGATGTTTTAAGAGTATGATTCTTTGCCTTCCAAAAAATTCTTGATCTATACTATCTTCGTAATTTTTTAAAATCTTACAATTTACTTTGATTCGATAATTTTCATAGACATATAATCAGAAAATCTCACGCTCGTAATAGGTATAAGTAGCTTACCGCTAGAAAAAAATTTGGAACCATTAAAGCACAAAATATCCAATGATAAAGAGAGATATTTATAGTATCTCTATTGTTTGTTGCATGACTATTAATTGTTTTGAGGAGATAGAAATAAGTAGGACTAAAGAAAAAAAATTTGATGCTACTATTTTAATAGCATTTATATTGGATGATTATGATTAAATAGGTCGTCTATTGTCATATGTATATAGGTAGCATTGGTTGATTGAAACTCAATGTTGTATATCAAATAAAATTCTTTTATAAAATTATTCATTATTTACTATTGTTAAGAATGCAAACAATCTATTATCACCCGGTTGATGCATAAATGTAATTTCATTATTCAATCCTTTTGAATTTTTAAATTCTATCCATATGTTTGATACATGGTTTAAATTAAATAAATCTTAATGAAATGAATCAATAATAAAATAATAAATTTAAAAAATTACCACGTGCATTGCACGTGCAATCTAACTAGTACTAATATAAGCTTGAGCTTGTGTGATCAGAGGCGGATTTAGCTTCAAGTGTTGGAGTGCAATTGCACTCCTACAAATTTAGAAATTGCATACAAGTCTTTGTGTTATTATTTACAATCATGCCCCTATAAATTTTACAATTTGCACCCCAATCTATCCAAAAACACTAAATAAGTTAGTAACAACTTGAATTGGCCCATTTAAATTGTACTTAGTGCATTCACATTAGATACTATAGTTTTACAATATTGTTTTTTTTTATTTTTAGGCAAAACGTTACTTGTTGTAAATAAAAAAAACTGATCCACCACTCTGTGATGGCTATGAATATTGGCCAACCTATAAGTAAGGGCTCCAAGAAATATCATTTCCTAAATATAGAGAACTGAAAAAATGATTGAAATGATCTAAATTTGTAAGAAATATGATGAATAAACTGTAAGAGTATTATGTCCAAAATAAAATGAGCCCATTTAATACCAGTAATGACATAAAGCATACACTAAAATAGGGGTGGATGAAGTTGAGTAACTTAAATAATGATACGCAGACAACATTAGCAAGTAGAGTACATTGATTGCTCCAAGAAATCTAGATTTTCGGTGTCAAAAAAGACAAAAAGGGACAAAAAGAAACTTCAATATAAAAGGGATTTAAATATCAGAGTAGCCAATATGACAGGCAATTCCAAATTTGAGCCTAAATATAACCACATGACTTGTTAAGTATCAGGATTCTCTCACTCTATTTTGTGACCTGGCTATAGGCTAGACCATTCTACTGCAGCATAACAACACATGATGTCACTAATAAGTTTACATTTACCCATGAAAATACACATTTGTCGATGCTCTTTGTAGATCCAAATATTCAACGTTACCAATACACCGTCAAACCCAACTAGATAAAAAATCACGTGATTTAGGATTTTCCACCCCATATTTTCAAGCTACTCAAAATAATCGACTTTCAAGAGCATTACAAGACGTTCATTATCTGGTCATGTGATGAATAGACAAGAAAATTTCAATCCGTGACTTTTGAATAGCATAAGATTTACAATGTTTAGATGACAGCTAACGGCTTGGCTCACCAAATTAATGATTGAACATGAATTTTCACAGGTGGGTGTAAACTTCTTAGTTCCACCCTATGTGTGATGTAACCAAACCCTATATACATACATACTGTGCGTGAAAACCAGTATATGATAGATATTCCGGTACGATTTGACAACTGTAGTTTCATGAAAGATGGAGACGAAAAGCATGGAGCAGGACATAGTAGTCTCTATGGTGAAAGCGGGGAAATAGGCTAAACAACGGAAAAAGAGAAGAAAAGAAATCCTCAAAAGATATAAATATATGAAGATGATGGCTTTAAAAATAGGAATCTCTATAAAAATCTAGTGGGATGTAAGACTTTGTTTCGGCCAAAACAAGTAGTAAAAGGCAGCTAAATTGAGAGACACAAGAAACTTGCATGTGAGGAAAGAACATTAAAAATTTGTGTTTTAAGGAAATCAGTCCCTAGTTCAAGTCTAAAAAAGCACACAAGCAATGAAGATACCAAATTTGCATTTTATAAAAGAAATTTATGACATAATTTATCATGTAGAAAGAATCAAATTGTTTTATCATATTATCACAAGCCCAAAAAACACATATCGAGCAGAATCAAACGATTGCAATATAGAAAAATGTGGAAAAAATAAACCCTTCATAACTTATAAGAACATTCTTACCCATGAGCAACGATAGGGTCATTAGAGTAATCTATCGAATATCTTGCAATAACATCCCAAGCAGTGTAAAAATCTGTCATGGCAAATAGCGGCAATAATGATTTTACGAGAAAAATGTGCATTGGTGAGATATCTATAAAAATTTTGGAATGAAAAATGTAAAAAATATGTGAACATATCTACATAAATCCACATTAAAGATAACGCCAAAAGCCTCAGTTCACTGCAATTGCTTAGAGAATGCCCCAAATAAAGAAGTGAAATGAACAAGGAGTTATTGTCACATCCAAAATTTTTGTTTCGAACAGTTGGGAACCAACCCTGGATGATTGGAAGATTAAGGCAAATAACATGAATAAGGGCCTTTGTGGTGCTAAGAAGACACTCTGAAATGAGCAAGTAACAACTCATACTACAAGCAACAATTTACTTCATAAGTGAACAAAGTCATGAAGTTTGAACTCATTTCATAATAAATTTCAGATAAAGATTCTATCTCATAGTAAGCAATGCTGGAAAAAGAATCCTAATTGAGTTCCGCAGAGTAGAGGGGCAAAGCTGCCAAATCTGGCAATTAAGGCTGTCTAGTGGAAACCCCAAGATTGTTTTCTAAAACACTGTCAGGAGGCTTAATTTTGCCATAATTTTCCTGCCAATTTCACATTCCTATGTCCTCATTTAGCAATTTCTTAGATTCCATTACTTTGTGGTGATAATAAAAAAAGTTAGCTATCAGCAAAACAAACAAGTAGAGAATGAGTTCCATAATCATGAAATGTCCACGCTAGTATTCAGGATTAGCACTAAGGAACCCAGCAGCGAAGCCACATGGAGGCCAAAAGGGTCTTGGCCCCCCCTTGAAAAAATAAAATTGCAAGGGATAGGATAATGGGCTTGTATGTAAAATTCTATCATCTAATACCAAAATATGTAAATATTTAAGACCTAAGAGTAGGCTAAAAATGTAAATATACAAGTTCCTAGGATCTAGCATAAAAAGAAATGAAAAGCAAAGGTTCCCATGATGTCGACACGTCTGTAGAAAAATGTATCTCTTAAGTTTGAGAGTTTTACTTCTCGGTCAGTTCATTTACAATTATTTTCTTTTTCGTTCAATTTTAAGACTATTTCTTGGTTGATGCTATTAGATTTCATATTCTCGTCAAAAAATTTATTGGTCTTTTTAACATATTCAATGAACTAGCTGATTTTTAACATCCAATAGACAAAATGTGAACCAAGATGCAATCCTTTGCCTTATAAGATGATTATTGAGAAGTATGTTGAGAAAAATCCTTGGATGCAGACAAGTTTAATATGGGTAATTTTGATGCGGATGTATACAAATATTTTCATTTGGAAAATTTTGATTCCGACTATCCTCATACAAACCTATGGATAATATTATGGCTATTTTTTCCCTTCTTTGTGTTAACTTTAGGATTTATAACTTTGTGAAAGATTGATACATGCTTGTAGTTATATTCATCGTCATGTTTGATAAATATCATATTTTAATCTGAATTTTGATTTTGAAATTTGAGCATATATTTATGTAATGGAGATATTAATTAACCGTGAAAAATAAAATATTACGGTGTTTAATTATAAATTCTTTTGGACACCCTTATTCAAATTCCTAGCTCCACCACGCAGGGAACCTTCTTGTGATTTTCTTTTGATGGCGTTCATTATATCATACCATCATTGTAGGAAAAGAAAGATGGAGGAAAGTCCAATAAAATTTCCTTGGGAACATACAGATGTTCTCCATGGTCAACAAAGAGAGATCATTGATTTGCAGTTTTGAAAGACATCATGAGTAAACACCAAACTTTGCAGATCTGTATAGCGTGGATTCAGAAGGAATGCGAGGCCCCAACCACCCAACCGGTCCCCCACTACGATACACATACACACCCTGAAAAGAAGGAAAAATCCTCATTAAGAAAGAAAAAAAGTGTTTTAGACATATTCTTCAGTTGATCCACTGATTTGTTTTCTACTCTGTGTTTGTACTTGCCAGCAACTACAGGCATTTGTTCCTGTGTTTTTTGTTTGTTCATATGCACATGCACACATGCCTAGAAACCAAGATTAAATATATGATAAAACAGTATATCAGTAGGCATCATCTAAAAAAAATCTAAATATGCTAAAAAAGATTATCCTATTCAAGCAGCGGGAACAGAGACGAAAGTAACATATAGAAGAAGCTTAGTCGCAAGAGTCAGAAAAATGGTACTTGTAATTGTAAAGAGGAAAAAATAAACAGATTATGTCCTACAAGCAAAAAGAGTTACCAACTACATCTGCTTCACAGAGATGGGCAAGGCTTTCAAAACCAAGAGCTCGCACAGTAGAATCTCGACTCTCAATACATGACTGTTATTAGAAGTAAACTGCTACGATTATATCTATATATAAATCATAAATAAATAAAATAACATGAAAAAGAGTTCTGTGTGATATGTGCTATCTTTACCGACACAGATAATATGAGGTCAACACCCCTATCAGGATTGTGTCTGCAGACATCGCGTATTGAACCAGCAATACTAATACAAATATGTCTATCAGAGATGAAGTCAGACAGCGCTTTCGGATCCAAGATTTCCTACATACATCAAGAACGAGAATAAAATAATAAATAGGTATCAACAAATAATACCTAATAGACCATTTTCAATGCAATCTTAGGGACCTGAATAGAAGCAATTTCATATATTGCATAATGTGCTCACCTTTGGACCCCCACTCGTAGAAAAAAACCTGTTAACAAACTTAAGAGAAAGATTGGATGCCAGTTGGAAAAGCAGAGGAAGAAAAATTATAGTAGAACAAGAATAAGAAACTTAGCTTGCGGTAATTAACTAACCATATCTCTCTATTATAAAATATTTAATTTTACTCTTGTACTATGACGTTTTTTGTTAGCATCACATTTTTAAAAATCTTCAAGCATACAAAAGTAAAGAGATTTATCTAAACAAGCATAGTCAGCAATACAATAAATTATGCTTGATTGTCAGAGGAGATCATGTATTGGCACCTGGATGAAAGATACTTCACCACCTTTGAGGCAACTCCTCTTGAAAACTCTACACTGTTGTCATCGATTGCTGCTGAGTCTATTGCTTCAAAATAAAGTGTAACTACCAAAAAAGCCTTTGTGCATTCCAGAATAAATGTTTCAGTTTAAAGGTTCCAGCTATTTAACAGCCAAACAAGCCTTTACGTTCCAGTTTCAGTTTGTAGTTACCAAGCAACCAACTTTCCTTAATAGGTATTACCAAAAGTTGTCCAGATATAAGCTTCTCAAGCAAGTGGTAGACTAGAACGCATTCAATAATTATGAACTTAATAAACAAAAAAATAAATAATAACATTTAAACATGTCAATCAAAATACGAAAATAATGATTTTCTTACTTGCAATGTTCCAAACGCCTGACCTGTAGTAATCCATGTCTTACAAAGCAAACGAGTAGCTGCAGCATATAACACTCTAGATAAATGCAATCAAGAGAAAAAGTGTTACAAATACTTACAGTAGATAAATAGTTATTTGCTAAGTGTATAACTTTCTTGCACTTGGTAACATCCAAGTAAAATTGATGGATATGTTAACTGAGTTCCAGAATTATATATACGTTAAGGAATCTATCTGATTTGATAACAATTTTGGTCATAAATTATTTAACTTCAGTTATCGATCTGAAAGCATCTTAAATTAATTACACCTCTTTAAGGAGCAAGTTGTGAAATACAAAGAGTCAAGCTCTCTTAAGGTTTATACAAAAACTGAATCAGATTAAGAAATTAGAAACTGATAAATAATGCTTGCATTTCTGCCAAATAATTAGGCCTTCTTGTTATTATATTCGACAGTCTTGTATACAATACTTTTTTTTCAGATTTATTCTCCATACATATCTAGACAGGAATAAGTGTTTGTCATTAAATGAAACATCCATCTAAAATAAAAATTACTTATGGACGTTACAGCATTTGTTACATCACATTCCTTGCTATTTAGAAAATATAATACTCTAATTTTCATAACCTAATGCATCTTTGCGGTTTTAAACATTCCTTGAACTTCTCTTTGTGTGTATAAAAAAACACACCCATCAGTTTTGGTTAACCTCTTTAGAGCTAAAATGATGGTTAACCTCTATAGAGCTTAGTGCTACTATCTCGCTTTGTCCATTCTGCATATCAAGTGTTGCGCCAAATAATACCCTAGTCTATATCTATCTATATCTATGCTAAGGGACTGTTTGGTTGCACACTTTTTGAGAAAACTTTTCTCAAAACATCTGACAATGGCAAATTTATAATTAAAAGTTTTCCAGAGATTTCTGTAAATTGTGTTTGGTTCAACAAAAAATTTACAGAAATATTTTCTATAAAATATCAAAACCTACCAAATTTTACAAAAAGCAATTTCCTCTCAAAATGAGAGGAAATCACCAGAAATCTGACACATACCATATTTAATTAAAAACCTACCAAATCTTGTTATTTTCTATAAAGTTATGAGCTATTTTCTTGTTTTGAACCAAACAAGCAAAGTACAAAAAACAAGAAAATTGGTACTTTTTGATTTCTCAAAACTTTTCCTATAATTTTTTTAAGAAATACAAGGAAATCATATTTTAGGTGGAAAACATTTCCTATAATTTCTAGAAATTGAACCAAACACCCCCTAATTATAAAAGAGGACTACGATGTCAAAACTTTTGATTGCCTTTTTTGCTCTCTCCATTAAAAGTTGTCATTACAATCCCTCTTTTATACGTGTAATGAAATGTAATAATAAGTAATAATACTTAATAAAGAGAAGTATAGACTATAACTATAAATATAGATATAAATGAAATGAAAACATACATAACATACATCTTCCGTTTGTCATTTCTCTCCCAATAAAAATTCAGCCTTCTTAGACAATTAGGTCCAAATTATTCCATTATGAAACATTAATTCCCTATAAACTTATATTATCAAAACCTTCCAAATTCCATTGTCTGTTACATGCAAGTAATGGCTTTCTTAGACAATTAGTTCCAAACAAATCTATAATCAAACATCCTAAGTTCACCTAAACAAAGTCAAGTCATCCATTGAAGAAAGAAAGGCGAGCTACATGGTACTTGAGTGGCATATAGTAGAGTCAATATATGTTGATATTTTCATAAAATTCAATCTATCCCCGCTGCAATGGTACTTGGGTGGCATATAATAGAGTCAATATATGTTGATATTTTCATAAAATTCAATCTATCCCCACTGCAATGCCATTGCTGCTTCCATTGCTAGTCAACCAAGTTGGGCAGACACCATAAAGATGTGAGGTTTTTATCAAAAATTTGTTCAATTTCTTGCTCACTACTAAATTATTTTTTGATTTTCCTTTGTTTGCGGCTCTTTGAGGACAGAGTTCTGTTGATCACATGTTCTTTCTTCCTTTCAATTGACAATAAGTTTTTGATATTAAGCCCCACGCATGGTATGAGGTAAAAACTTATTTAGTAATTGATGTTATTCAACACATTTTTTGTAGAAATTAATTCAAACAGTGATACTCAATCATACTCATGCACTCTTCAGTATTTACAATATTTTGATTATTTCAGATAATTGCATTTTGTAGTTTTAGAAAATATGTAACATTGAGCTAACATGATACTACAGTGTGCTTGAAGGTATTTGGATCAGAAATGAACTAGGGTTCTTCGAGCATTGATATTATGGTGGTATGCATTATAATTTATAATTGCTGTTTTGGGACTTGTCCAGCTCTTTCTTTATACAAAAGATTGATTTTTATTAGAGAGATTATGTTTGGTCTATGTATTGATTATGTTAGGTATCTATAGGGTGTTAGTTTAAAATGATAATGTTTGTCCTGTGATAGGACAACATGAGTAGCTTGTCATGGTTCTAACGTAGAAATGATTGTTATGATGTAAATTCAATTTGATGACAAAAATGATGAATATTGCATTGTCAGAAATATTGAGCGAAACTCAATTCTTTGCTCTTATTTCCGTTTTATTAGTAATAACTATTGAGTATATTTTAAGAATAATAATGTAATCATAAAATCACTCCTCGCAAATAAATGTAATGGAAAAAGTGCAAAAAGGCCAAGGAATTCAAACCACCTCAATGAGATTTATATTTAAAAAACAATATTATAATATTAAAATTTATAATAAATATTGCATATATTAAGTAGAAAATATTAGTATATACTAATAATATTATTATTGTAGTAAAAATGTTATTTTCCTGCAGTAGAAAATACATTAAAATGTTTTTTATATGATACTAAATAATTAACATTATCTATATATATGCATAAATATTTTGTAAATATGATATTAAAATATTTAAACACAATATATTAATTAAAATAATAACATTGTAATATAATATTATAATGTTTTAAATATTTTTTATTAAAACTTAAAACTATATGTATTTTTAACATTATTTAATATTAAAAAATATGTATTTATTTCCTAATTTTACTGTCCAAAAAAACTTCATAACATAAAATGAGTATGTTTACATGTAACACACATACACTATACTAAACATACATCATGGTTATTTATATATACTATACTATAACATGCTATAACAAAAAAATGTAATGATTTCTGTTTATTTACAACTATAACATAACATCACATGCAACACACATATTGCATACTAGTTAACTAAACATGACACTGACAACCTCAACTCCCCATTACATAGAACATGAAAAATAGCCCTATTCCACAAAGTAGCTCAGCATACAAAGTGAATCAGCTGAAACTCAACCATTGGTATCATATAAACATGCTCACTGAAGACTGAAATTCAATATTGATCCCTTTCATTTAACTACTTCAATTAACACATAGCCATCATCATTCTATCTAAGGAATCCTACTTTATATGCCAATAAGTCACTAATATAGATCTTTTTAAGCACTCCCAGTTCCTATATACAACTATACAAGATAAGCAAAAAGAAAATTAAAGATAAATGAGGTAGAGATCTTACGGTTTTACACCCTTTTGGAGCATAGGCAACACTGTCTGTAAAATAAGTGGAACCATAACAGAATGTGCTGCTAGTGATGGAAGCATTTCAAACAGTCTGAGCTGCAAAAGATGAAAGAGTTCAAATAAAAGTAACAACAGGATGAAAACCAGAAAATGATCAACCTACGCCTTGCGTCTGCCTAAAATTATCTAGCCAATATGGTTCAGAGGGGCAGAAAAGGGAGATGCACGATAACAACTTAGAAAAAGCATATTACACATCACTAGTTGGGCTTTTACACATAGAAAGATGTCTAGTGAAGTAACTCCACAAGCTTGAGGTCAGTAAAGAAATCAGATTCTGCGGTTATGTTGTGGAGATGATGCAGTCAATTGTGGAAGTTATGGTATCAACAGCCGTTTATGGTTTCAACTTGGTTGGCTGCACATGATAATAAGAGTCAATTGTCTTCTCCCTATTTTCCATTTTGTATCAAAATAGATATGCGTATTTGTTAATCTATTTTCTCGAAATATTTTTCCACAAGCATGAAAGACTGATGATGAATAACTTACCAATAATTCAGGTGAGTTACTTCCATGGCTGCATAGCATTTTATTATAGTAAAGAAGTGCTTGCAACAAAGATATACACAATCTGGAGTCAACTAAACCAATCGTAGCCAATACATCAACAGCAGAGGATCCGAGCATAGGATGCATAAGTAAAACAGATGCAATCGAACTGAGTAAAAAATATGTTCCTACAAAAATGTAGCCATTAATACCATGTAAATTCCTTGAGTAAGCAACCTGGATAGTATGGTAGTAGCACCAAACAAGTAACTCAGGAAATAAGCAACAAAAGAAAATTAAAAGGTGGGTGCAAGTAATGCTACACTGATTAAACCTGCAACCAGATCTTCTGATGATTGGCTGAATGATGCATCTTTCAACTTTTCAGCAGTTTGTAAGTACATTCTTAGTTGACAAGTCCAGTAGTTTGGTTCACTAGAAGTCTTATCAAACTCATAGACAACACCGCACGCAAGTCCCAGGTAAGTGGAATGTGGAAAATGAGATTGCTCCTGAAAGATAAGAAGAAAGATGATAAAACTTTAAAGCCAAAATGAACTAGGCCTAAAAAGTTCATAGAGAATAACCTGGAGCCAAAGATGATTCAGAAGCCTAAAATGAATAGATTTTGGCTTATTAACACACAGAAATTTATGGTTAGAAACCACTGTCATCCTGGGAACGTTCAACAAGTCTGAAACAAGTCTATCTACAGTTGATAGCAAACAAGCAGCAGCCGCTTTAACAGATTTAGAAGGAGATGACAAAAGGCTGACAGCAGGGAAGATATACAAAAGCTCCTCACACAGGCAGCATGCTGTTCCTTTTGAGTTACGCTCTGCAGCATTTCAAAAACATATTAAGCAAGTTTGTCTTAAAAAATTGTTAAATATAAGTACCAAGAAAAAGAAAAAAAGATCAAAACAAAGAAGGTGGCCTTCTAAGGAAAATTGCCTTCCACATGAATCTTAAACGATAAATAAATGAAGAATCTATCATCAAATACTGATAAACACAATCACAAATATAATTATTGATAAACACAATCATAAATCTAAAATTGGTGATATCTAAACCTAGAGAATACAAAAAAAAAGTAAAAGAAAAGGAAGGAAACAGAAACATGCATCTGATGAGAGACGCAAAGGTTGACATAAAAATCCAAAATACTGTATTAATAAAAGGATACTTTAACACTGTAATAATCACGAATTATCTGTATTTTCACCAACATGCCACTTTAGATAGGATGCTAATAAATAAAAGGTTATTTTAACCCGATCATACTCCACAGGACTTGATTTTAGGCACTCAACATGCATCTAAATTCCCATACGTCTACAAAATCAGTATCAAACAAAACAAAATATAAATTTTCTCGGAAATGAATAAAAACATACCAGTTTCAGCCCTCCACTCAAATATGAAAATCAAAAGCTTCAGAATAGACAAGTACTCATGTTCAAACTCCAACTGGGCGAGAATGAGAGGAATAGAGACCATAATCATGGCAAACTCTGGTAGATGGAGCAAGCCAAGCTCCTTCTGAGCTATCAACAAACGCTTAGACTGTTCAACCATGAACTCAACATCACCATAAGGTCTGTGAGTACATCCACTCAGTGAAAGGAGAGCATCCACAATCTCTACACCACATACTTGAATAGTACTCGTCGATTGCTGCTATAATTAAATTGAACTAATGTAGATAAGCATCCAGACTTCGAAAAGAGATCATTACATAAAATTAATAATTGAACATCAACAAAAATAAACATAAGTGACCAGATTCCAGAATGTCAATTTACGCAGAAATAGAAGAAAATACCTCCTTGGCACCAACAATTTCATTCAAGACCCCCACATAAGCATCCACCACATATTCAGCAGAATTAATAAGGTGCTTGAATTCCTGAGAAATTATGAAAAACATAATTTCCAAGATCATTGACAGATTCTCAAACATATCTCCAAATGAAGATACAAAAGAAAACTCCCAAGTATTATGTGGCCCCAAAGTGTGCAAATTAGAACAGTCAGTTCTTGAACAATTTGAAAGAAACCAAGCCACGGACAATTAAAAGAACCTAAAAAATTAATCCGAAAAAATTCAAATTTAATTAATACCTAATTGTATTAAACTTTATTGGAGTTAATATGTGAAACAGGTATCAGCTTAAATGCATCATTAGGAATATGAATTTTAAATTAAAAAAACATACCATCACATTTGTGCAGGGAAAGAATCTAAGACATTCAGTAAGAAGCTTGATAATGCTGATAGCTTCAGATGGAAAAGAACAACACAAAGACGCAACTGCCGATATCAAGTCCCTTGCAAATGATGAAGATGATTGAGAAGGCTTGTGGATTACTGAGAACATTAAAAATGGCCTCAAGAACCATGTAACAGCCTCCATTCCAACAGTCCTGTTGTGAGCAATAAACAATAGCACTTGCTGGATAAGTTCAGCCTGCACCTCCTCCCTACAGGCAAGTACCTGCAACCACAAGTATACCATATTATTCATGAAAATCGACTAGCTATCTGAAGACCGGAGAGTGATCACTCTAAAATTCACAAGGAATCCCTGAATAGCGCAAGATTTTTGATAACGTAAAACAGAAAACATATGAGGCGGGATCTAGTAAGAGAAACATATAACATGACAAATTAAAAATGCAGATTTCTATCAGCTCAACATAGGCCACGGAAAGCTACAAATAGGCATGAATTGCAAAGGTTATCTGTGCAAGCAAAGTAAAACTTATTGTTCAGTAGAAATCGTGATCAAAATAGAAGAATTCCTGAAGTTCCAGAGATTAATAGTACATGTTAAACTGAACAAGCAAATTTTCAGGAGAAAAAAATATTCACATGACGTTATCATCAGGAGATTAATTCTAGTTCCAGAGAGGACAATTTAAACAAGGATTAGTTACAATCCGGTACCTTGACATATTGTGTAATTACACGGGTGACCCTAGAGTTTAGTGTATCCACATTGGTAACATGGGGGTACTGATTGTAATAACACGGGTAACTCTGAGATTTGCTTTTCATCTGGGCTCTAAAGTCACCCATGTGACTACATTAGTAATCTCAAGGTCACCTGTGTAATAACATCATACCTCAAGGTATCAGAATGTAATTAATCCTTAAATAAAATCTTTTTTCTCTATTTAATTTCAAAGAACAATCAATTTAACATGTATTCACAAAAAACAGGCCAGCTTTCAATCATCTCACATTGCTCTACCCAAAAGTTCATTCTTTTAATTTCTCCAAGTTTCTAATGAATCCCGACATTTCCAAAATACCGGTTCATTAGTTTTACTAATTCCAGTTAGAACTAGGGTTGGCAAACCCGCGTCTAACGTGAAGCAATCTTCTGCTTGGTGAATTACCATTGAGCAGTCCCTCAGTTACGAAGCTGACCAAAAAAAGGCTTATTTACATTTTAATACCTCAAACTTTCACCCTTTTTAAGCCCTGATATCCAGGAAATCTATTGCGAAACTTTGGCCCTGACTCTGTTCCTCCCTTTCCCCAAACTCTAAAAACTGAGATTTGGTAAGAGAATAGCTTCTCATTCACTTCTCTATGTAGACATTCTTGGACAAAATTAACGTCCAATTTTTTTGCACTCTAGGGTATCAAATTCTCGAAAAAGAACTTCATGGTGTAAAAGTTAAAAGAAGTTTGAAACTTTTTGGGGTATGAAAGTGCAAATACATGAAATGCATGCATTTTAGTAATTAAATTTCAAAAGGAAAAGATCACAGTATCTAACCTTAACAAAAGGATGGAGCTCCACCGTATCAAACCTCCTCATCCTCCACTCTCCATCCGTCCCAAACCCAAACCGACACAAAAACCCTAGCCCCTTCACTAGAACCCCGACGAACCTCGCATCGCACCCCTCCAGCGCCGACTGGATCTCCAAAAGCGCGACAGAGCGATCGACGAGCCCTAGACTGAAGAGGCGGCAGAGCTCGCGCAGGCATTGGGAGATGGCGTCGCGAGCGGCAGCGGAGGAGAGGTTGGGGGTTAGGGTTTTGAAAAGGTAGGTCACTGCTTGGCGGGAGAGTTGGGGTTGGGGGAGGCGAAGTTTGGAGAGGAGAGAGGAGTAGGGGGAGGAGTTGGACATCGGTGAAGTTGGAGAGAGTGCGAAGTGGAGATGGGGTGATTTTGGGGTTTTTGGGAGACGAATGAAGCATGATTGCACTTAAATACCCTATCCTATAGTCTCCCCTACTTTGCACATATATACCCTCATTTAAATATCCTCAGTCATGTAAGCGTGAGACTACTACTTGTAAAACTTTTAATCCTAAATCTATCATAATTCTATTTTTAAAAATAGGATTTTGATAGATATTTAACAAATATTGAGGGTTTAATTAAAGTGGCATGTGATTATTAATGTCACATGAAAATTCTCATGTTTGCATAACTAAGGATATTAAATGCAAATTTTAAGAGGAAATTCTTATGTTTACATAATTGAGAGTATTAAAATACAAAGTTTAAAAGTTTTATGGTACATATGTGCTATAAAAAACAACCAAGGGCATATATTTAAGTGCAAAGTTGAGGAAACTATAGGATTATTGATTGCGATTGAGCTGCGTAGAATTATGTAGTTTCAACTTCTGGAGTAGGGGAAAAAAATATTTGTACTAAATTAAATAACATAAAAAGATACTGCAATTACGGAAGAATGGCCGTAGGATCAAATTTCAGGAGTTGATGCAGTTGGATCTACACTGAAGCTCCTGAGTAGTTTGCAACAGCCGCTTAACCAGAGCTGTGAGCAGAGTTTTCTATCGGGTAAAAAAAAAAGAAAAAAAAGAAAAAAGAGTTGTGAGCGACTAAAGACCATATTTCAGCTTGCTGCAAGCGATTCGAATTAGAGCATCTCCAACAGCATCCCCAAAATTTTCTCCAAAATAGAGAAACAAAAGTCATATTCTCCAAATTATTTTTGCTCCAACTCCAACAGCTTCCTCATTTTGAAAAATTGCATTTATTACAATAATAAAGCTCTCCCCAAAAATTTGGAGAATGCTGCAGATTTGGTGAAGGCTCCCTATTTTTTTTTCATTCTTCCCTATTTTGGGGAATGATATGGGAATCTGTTGAACCAAAAAAAAGCTCTATATTCCCCAAAATTGAGTATTTCAAGAAGATGGGGAAGCTGTTGGAGATGCTAAAAAAAGCTCTATATTCCCCAAAATTGAGTATTTCAAGAAGATGGGGAAGCTGTTGGAGATGCTCTTACTGCAAGCCGCAAGTAACAAATAGATGATAAAATATTTCCATCAGCAACAAATAGATCACAGAAATTAAACAAACAACCCTGCCATTCAAGTACAAAGGAAAGGGAGAAGAAAACAAAGAATATACATAGGGCTCTTTTATGCACAAAAGAAATTCCCCACTAGGCTTGAGCCATTACAAACAACTGCTGTGCTGCCCAAAATAATAAAGAAATTAAAGGTATTGACAAAATTAAGAAAGAAAAAACAACAGCAGAATGGACTTCACTAGAAGAGCCTCAGTTCATACTCTCCGGCCATGGTTATGCTACCTTACCCACGGAAGAAGCGTCGTACCCACTTTTCTCAATGATTTTCAGGTAACGAACCTAAGAAAGCCGACAGTTTGAGGATTGACATTAGTACATGAATAAATCTTCTTGAAGGTTAATATACTTCATGATAAAATGATGGATTCAATGATAAAGATGAAGGTAGGATACCTGTATTCCAGAAATAGTAAAATATGGGATCTCGAACTTGACACGAATAGGGGCTTTTTTATCGGGCATTGAATCTTCAGATGGTACACTAGGAAGACCGAATTCTGCCCGTGACAAGTATTCCTAGGAAAATAGTTGCATAACCATGTAAAGATGCAAAGCAAGCACATTTTTTTGACGCTCATGTACCAACAACAAGAAAGAAAACATCAAATCCCCTAAACAATCAAGATAAAGCTACAGAATTTCCATAGGGGAAGGTGTCACTGACTTAATAAATAGCTAAAATAGGGACATCCAAATCTATAACAGATGATACAGACAAAACATAGTAAAGGATTATTTATCACTATCCAAATTTGGTGAAGATCTGACCCTTAAGCCAGATACAATTCTTTTATTTTTCCCTAACCTGCTACAATTGTTTGAAAACAAATGCTGATGTAAACAATATTTGAATGTAAAACGCTGATGGAGTCAAGTCTAATGTTTAAAGTCTGACATTTGAAGAGGCCACTAAAAATGAACAGCCATGTAAATTTCCAAAACACAGGAATTGCTAAACTAAACCAAATTGTATCCTATCCAATTAAAATAGTATGCAGCCAATTATACGGATTTATTAGTAGAAAACTTACCTTGCCACCAGGAAAAGATTTAATCTTCCAGATCAATGCATCTTTTTCAGGTGCATATGCAGCAGATCCCATGGATGTCCGCACAATAGGATTGATGGCATCTGCGGGTATAGGAATTTCAATTTCCACGCTTGTTGCAGTGCTGCAGGAAGATTCAGTTACGCATATAAGGGCAGAAAACAAGGAGCAATATGATGTAAAATAAGGATCTTTCTAATAATACAAGAGTGAACAAACGTACCTTCGCTCCTTAAACTGGCTTTTTGCCTTCACCATGATCTCTATACGACTTTTTGAGTGCCTCTCTATTTGGGCCTCCACCCATATAAGAGGTTTTACCTGATAGGGAGTAACATAAAGATGGGTTAAGAAGTTTATGTGTATTACAAACAAGGAAATTTATGAATGGGTAGATGCACATAAGCAAGAAATAAACCTGTGTAGTAAGTCTGTAGTTCATCAAATCAAAAGCACCATCAGGTGGTATGAAGGATATTGTCCTGTCATTTTCAAAACGGGCCAACCGTACACACCTAAAACAGAAAAAATTGGCCATAATACTGTTAAGAAAATAAAACATATGAAAATTTCCCAAAAATATCGAACCAATGACCACGATATGACTGAAAAATGAGAGAAAGGGGGAAAACATACTGATGAAACTTGATGTCTTCAAGGTCAATAGCTTTTCCTTTTGTAGCTCGACCTTGGGCCTCCAAAAGCACTCGGTCATTTAGTCCAAGCTTACATTCAGGCATCCCACTATACCACATACAATGATAATCATAAATAAGTAAAATAGAGTTAAAACCAAGTAACACATATTAAACGAAAACTTCAATTGTTTGTCATGATGTGCATCACTAATGCCAAACAGATAAAGCATGTATCCCAGATGTTTAGGTCGGACATGATTTCTTTTCTAAAATTAAACCCACTCAGCGTTATCATGGGTCTTCTTGGTTAAATTAACCATAATTAGATCCACTTTAATTCCTTATATCCATGTTTGTTTAGACAGATCTCTAGTCCATGTTTGCTCCAATAACCAGGAATCCTACCGCTACTTCTAGCTGGTATGTTTTAGCTTTCCTTGCGCATGTCACAATTTCTCAAAATTATATTACTCAAGACAAGATTCCTCCTTCCATAAGCAACTTTATTAAAGTTAGTTAGAATATACTAAGAATATTCCATCTAAATCCCTTGTATGGGCACTTACATATCTCTGCACTCAATTTGCTTGGAGAACATGCATGCATAATGTGTCAGGCCATTTGGGAAAAAAATCACATTAAATGAAATTTTCTAAATAGTATAAACTTTCTCTCTTTTTTCCTTGATATTATAATATATATTAAGGTTCTTCCTTAAATATGTACGAGTATACATGTATAACTAAATATATGTATGCCTACAGAAACATACACATATAGAAGTGATCCTCAACTTTAGGTTTTGGAGATACTTTTCGTTAGTGAGAAAATATGATGCTCATTTTCGTTCCAAAATTCATAGTGTTTTACACATGTAAAAATAAAAAACAAAGAAGTCACAGTGTACCTCAAATATGTCCTCATTTTCAACGCTCCAACAACATCAGATCGAATAATTTGCCCATTGCTATTGACGAGAATATTAACACTTTCTACAACATCCAAGAACACCTGAGAGGACAGGAATCACTTCCTTAAATACCACAATTCTAATTAAAATAAGATCAACCATTTAAAATAAACACACCTACTTCATTCTTCTTGTAGCGTATCCCTTCACTTCGCCAGGACACTGCATTTGTCACGGCCATTGGAGGCCTTTGTGTTACTTCCATCCTGTATGCATCTGTCTTGATAAACTCACTCAGAATTCGCGCTTCTGTGTACTGTGGGTATCCGTAGTCCATCATTTCATCAAGTAACTCATACTGGCCAAACCAAAAAATAAGCGCGCTTATGTAGTTAAACCAAAAATAATTAAAAATATTTTTCATTATAGTAATGATGAAGGGGGAAATGTGAAGGTTCATCTTAATACCACCACGACAAAATTATCTCTAAGTGACTCCTCTTCTAACTCTTCAAAGTAATGCTTAAGAACCTGCATGAAAAAAAAAAACTTCCTTTAACTCGATAAATTTAAAACTTCATCGAAATCAATAAAAATTATATAAGCATGATGTCTCGCTCAACTTTCTCCAATTGCTCATGTGAACCAGTAGAATTAACGTGTAACTCACTCCGTTAACCATTGCTTGTATCCGAAAATTTAAAACAATTCTTTATTAATCCTCATGTGAACCAGAAAAATTATGCACTAAATTGTATCAATCAACTCCAAACGATGCTCATTTTTACATGGAAAACAGCAAAAATGAAAAATAAAAAAAAATTCACACATTATTGGAATAAAAAATCAAACTCACGTCGACAACACGATGAAGAAACGATAGAAGACTTGCAGCATTGCAATTCTGCCTCGACGCCGTCATCAAGAACACATTGTTGTGCTGAATGAACATGTAACTCACTCCCTTATCATACACCACTGGATCTTGAGTCTCTGGATCCCCCTAAAAATTTCAAAAAAAAAAAAATCAATTCCAATTCAATTTCATTATAGAACTCAATAACTCAAACCTCTTTCTCGATCAATTTGCCAAAGAATTTCTCGGCTTGGACATTGAGATTAGGGCTAGGGTTAGGGTTTCAAGGATCAGACTCGATTCGCCATTTTCTGTGATAGTGGCATCTTTTCTTCGTCTTCGTCTGATGGAAGAAGAGAGAGAGAGAGAGCTCAAAATGTGAAATGGGCCATCGGAGCCCGGCCCATTTAATTGTGGTCTACTAGAAAACTCTACGATGGGCCTTTAGAAGGTTTGTTGACAGCAAAATCACACTTTTTCTGCGTAAAATTGTCATGAAGCTATTATTCGGGTAGGTAACTTTCATGCTATCATGCGCAAGTACACTTTGTATCGGAATGGGTGGCGTAGGAAAGTTGAAGAATCGCATTGGGCTATGAATACTGTGGAAGCATGTCATTAATATTTAGGTACATAAAAAATGAGAAAGACGTAGAACGATCTTGCAGTTTCGGAACTAACTCCCAAACGAAGTTTTTATGGAGAGATTGAATCTCCTCCGACATAGCATCTAATCATTCTTGTCGCTCATCGCTTTCCATGGCTTCTTTGAAAGTAGAATGATCTTCTCCGCTAGCTAAGAGTGCATAGCAGACTTCATCTTCCCATCCGAATCGTTGAGGAGGCTTGATGACTCATCTCTGTCTTGATTGTGCTATGCTTGTAGGTTCTGCATGAACCTCTTCGGCTTGTTGCTGCTCATCGTGTTGCTCCACCTCAGCTTGATTTTCTAGAATATAACCTTCCTTTGACAAAGAAAATTTAGTATGACAATGATTCTCTTCACGATCCTCATCTTTGTCACTAGCTTCAGCTCCAAGTCTTTCCTCAAACACGGTATATCTACTCAGCACTTTCTTCTTATTTTTTGGATCCCACAGTTTGTAGCATTTCACTCCCTTCTCAAAACCGAGAAAAATGCACTCGAGTGACTTTGGCTTCATCTTGTTCTGTTCGTCACTCGGAATATGAACATATGCCTTTCATCCGAAAACCTTCAGAGTAGAATAGTCAACTTCTTTGTCCGACCATACTTCTTCGGCACATTTAAAGTTCAGAAGCTTAGACGGTGACCGATTAACCAAGTAGGTAGCATGGTTAACAGATTCAACCCAAAAAGACTCGAGCAATCATGCATGAAGTCTCATGCATCTTTCTTTCTCTATGAAAGTCTGGTTCATCCTTTCCATCGCACCATCTGCTATGGAGTTTTCTTCACGGTAAAGTGTCGCGTAATACCTTCTTGCTTGCAAAACGCTAGGAACCTCCCATCATGATATTCACCTTTGTTGTCACTTTATAAATACTTGATCTTCCGTCCAGTTTGGTTCTCTACTTCTGCCTTCCATTCTTTGAACTTCTCAAAGACCTCAGATTTATTCCGCATGAAGTAGACCTAAAGTTTTCGCGAATAGTCATCCATGAAGGTGACAAAATAGCGAACACCACCATGAGATTTTGTAGGTGCCCCCCCCATACATAGGAGTGAATATAGTCAAGAATCCCCTTTGTACGATTCTCCTTTTTTGCAAGCTTGAATGAGACCTTGCATTGCTTTCCAAGTACACAATACTTGCAGAAATCCAACTTGCAAGTCTCCATGTTCTTTAACAGCTTTCTCTTGTGCAGCTCCTCCATAGCCCGCTCACTCATATGGCCAAGACGAAGATACCATAGATGAGTCGAGTCTTCCCCAGAGTTAGTCATGGAGTCCTCTTTGAAAGTTGTGGATACGACTACTTCCCCTGAGACAGTATCTCTTAGAAGATTGTACAAGTTGTTGGGAAGCTTCTCTCCTTGCATGATCACCATCAAGCCCTTACAAATCTTAATCTTTCCTCCGCTTGAGGAGTAGGTGAGGCCACTTGCATCTAGAGTGCCCAAAGAAATTAGGTTTTTCTTGAGTGCAGGAATATGTCGCACGTTGCCGAAAGTGCAAATGATGTCATCATACATCTTCACCTTCACCGTGCCAATGCCGATGACCTTGCACGCGACATTATTCCCCATGCGGACTTCACCTCTATCCTTCTTTTCATATGTGTCGAACCAAAACCTATTTGCACACATATGGAAAGAGCAACCTGAATCAAGAATCCAAGAATTAGAAATGGTTTTACCTGACGAAACTAAAAGAAGCTCGACACTGTTCTCCGTGGTAACTCCAGCCATAGAGGTGGTTTCAGAATTCTTCCCTTCTTTCTAATCTGTCTTGAACTTTCTGCAGTTCTTCTTAAAGTGGTCTTTCTTATGCCAGTAGTAACACTCCTTATCCTTGTGGCTCTTAGATTTAGATCTCCCGCGGTTATCCAACTTGGCACCTTTCTACTTGGATCGACCTCGATCGTTCAACTCCTTGACGAGTAGGCCTTCATTTTTCAAGTCAACTCTCGTGCTCTTGTTCATTTTGACATGGGAGATGATGTCTTGAACAAGCTCTTCAAACCGAATAGTCTCCTTGCCAAACATGAGTGTGGTCCAGAAATGTTTGAATGACGACGACAAGGATCATAGCAAAAGCAAATCTTTACCCTCTTCTTCAAACTTGACCTTCACTCTCAACAAATCCGTTATACAACAGTTAAACACATTAAGATACTCCATAATATCATCTCCATCTTCCATACGAAAATTAAACAAATCATCTTTTAAGAAAATCTTGTTAGAGAGAGTCTTTCCCATGTAGAGATTCTCTAACTTCTCCCATGTGCCCCTTGCGGTAGTCTCCTCCATCACGTTGTAGGTGACTTCGTCGGATAAGTGCAGCTCAATCAAGCTCATTGCCTTAAGGCCTGCCTTGTTCCAAGCCTCCATAGACATCGTCTCAGGCTTGTGCTCAACCCCCATAATGCACATGTGTAGATCTTACTGAATCAAGATATTCTTCATCTTACGCTGTCATAGTGTGAAATTACTTCGCCCATCGAATGGCTTCAACTCAACCTTCACACCGCCGATTATTGACTTGTCTTCAGCTATTAAGAACACCACAACCTCGCTCTGATACCACTTGTTGGTGTTGACGAACCGTAAAACTTCTCAACAACACTTCAGGTTCTTGTTCTTAATGACAAAAAGATAAAAGATAATCACATAAAGAATGGACACAAGGATTTACGTGAAAACCCAAATGGGAAAAACCACGGGTTGAGCTCAGAGCTCGGAGGATACTTCACTATATGGAATCAAAAAATTGGTATAAAGCACACATGGCACACCCAACAACGCCGACTTCCTCACAACCCTCACTCACGCTCTTTGTCTATTAACTCAACACTCGAGATCTCTACAACACAAGAGACTCTCATTCACTCTAACTCTCTATACTTTCAAGAGAACAAGTGGAAAACTTAGATTACTCTTGGACTGCCTTTGATTACCTCTCCACAATGAGAGCATGCCTTTTTATAGGTCTTGATTAACCTTTTCATCTTCCAAAATGCTTGAGAATACACAAATCTGTCCAGATTCGGTAGGGTACTTTGACTGACCATAACTCCATCCATACTATTCCAATTTCTATCATTCAAAGCTTGGAGTAAACTATGCATGTACCTCTACAACTTTTATATAGCATTCCGAGTCAAATAATGACTGCACTATGCCCGAAAAGATCATGCAAAATTGTATCTGCATGCAGAAAATTGTAGTAATAAATTTAGTTAGAAATTGAGCCAACTCCAATATTAAGCTTATGCATTTATTAAGCTTTTTCGTCAATTGTTAAGCTTATACGTTGGTTGTTAAGTTTATGTATTCATTATTAAGCTTTTTCATTAGTTGTTTAGTGTAGCCATTGGTTGTTAAACTTATCTAGTTAGTTTTTAAGTTTATGTGTTCGTTGTTAAGTCATGTTGTAGTTGTCCTCTTACCTACTTTTGAGAGATTAATTAAGAGGGAGTAGAAAGGAAAACGTGTGGACAAGTTTTAGGGCGGTGAGGGGGTGGTGGGCCTAGGCGAAAGTGATAAGTGAGGTGATGAGGTAAGAGGGGGTGGTGCGAACCACATAGAAGAAGAAGTCGAGGCAGGGTTTGCTGGAGGAGGAGGGATGGGAGAGATCATATGAGAGGGGATGGAGAGATCTGAAGACGGAGGATAAGGGAAGGGAGGTGAGATAGGAGGGTGCATGGATATATGATGGCAATCCCAAAAAAGTCGAGGCAGGGATTGCCGGGAGAGGAGGGATGAGAGAAGGCGTAGGAGGGTGGATGTATGATGATGGACCCAAAAAAACTAAGGTAGGGGTTGCTGAGGATAGAGAGGGGTGATGGGAGGTGGATGTATGATCGTGGGCTAGAAAATCGAGGAAGGGGTTGCCGGAGGAGGAGGAGAGGAAGTAGAAAGGTGAATGTATGATGTAGTCAGAGGAGGAGGAGGGAAGAGAGGGTAAGTGAGAACATGAAATAATGTATGATACTAGTGGGCTCAAAGAAGTCAAGGCAGCGGGTTGCCCAAGGAGAAGTGAAGGGGAGAGGAAAGAGAAGAGAGAGGAAGAGGAAAAGGGAAGAAGAAAGAGATGAGAGGGAAAGGGCATTGCGGAAATTTTTTCTTTTTTTTAATTATTGGTGACATGGCACAGAATTTTGGGGGTAGCAGCATAAAAATGTGGATGTTGAGAGTTTTTGACATATTGACTTAGGCTTGGGGGTTGGGCATATTCGCTTTTTGATTTTGGGGCTAGGAACATTTTCCCCTAAAGATTAATACATAAAGGTCAAAATTTATTTACTAATATATCTTCAGATTTCATTGCATGTTATAATTAATGTAGACATGCCATATACCTAAACCTTTACGTTCAAGAACACAAAGTGCTATCAGATTCCAACAGGTACTAGGACTACTATATTGATTGTTTTTCTATCTTATGTGCTTGATGGTTTCATCACACAGTGTTTTGAGATTAATTAGAAATGAAGATCATCACGCACGCTACATTAATGAACTCCTAAACTCTAGCATGCATTGAGTAATGAAAGATAAATAGGGTAAATTTCACATAATCCCCCGGAAAAAAAATGGTCCGTTATGAGATAATACCAAAAATTTCTGAAATTGGATGATAACAGTGAGAGAATTTTGGTCACGTTGGGGATTACCTGACAAATATGTTTGGTGTTATGTGATATTTTTAAAAATGTTGGTGTCTCCTCAAAGTGATGGATTTGAAACTGGGCCACTGAAAATTTACGGACCATTAGTAGGTCATGTGACTATACCGTATCGATTTGTATCGAATTTGGCCCATTCGAATCTCGGCCACCTTAATTTCACAATCCATTAGCCTTTTAAATGAGCTTCTTAATTAGTACTAGTAATCAATTAGGCTGTAAGTACTAGTTGATATCAAAACCACACTTTTCTCATGTAAATCATCGTAAACTTATCGCTCGAGTAAGGTTAGTTTTCATTTTGGCACGCACTGTCGAATTAGCTATATAAAGTTAATTACTCCAGCCAATAACAATAAACAAAAAAGGTTGCAATTTTTGTTGTTGCCTTCTTATTAATTTGCAGGGTTCTCTTATTACCCTTGTTAATTGCTTTTTCCTTAAAAGAGTTTTCTGAAAAATATATCAAACAAATACATTTTGAATCGGATTGGATGGTGTAGGAGCGCTGAAGAGTTTTATGGTTATCAACTATGTTTAATTTCTTGTAAGATATTTTATTAAGTCTAAATTTGGATGGCTGTAGATAGAGCGCTGGACTGTTAACTGCTAAGGTGACTGCTAAGGTGACTGGAGCTGTTGTCCTATTGACAGTCAGGATGTCATAGGACAAAGTCATCCGATTACAAAATTTAACCTTCATTTCTGCATTGCCTATGTAACTATGTTTTTTTTTGTTTTTTTAACATAAAATTGCTTGTTTTGTTCTTAATTATAACCGTGGCTAATTTTTTTTAAACATTTACTAGCAAAATAAAAATGTGTTTTATTTGAAGAAATAACACATACAATACCTTCAGTCTTCAATTAATATTAACAAAGCACATACAATACCTTCAGTCTTCTCTATTAACCAATTAAGTTGTTTTTTTCAACCTAAAAGGAACTATTTTCCAAAAAAAAAAATGTTATTTAATTAGCTTAGAAATACTATTGGTCTAGTACAAAACTCTCATCGTAGAATGTTCTGGTCACAGGGTGCGAGGAGTAAAATCTCATTGTACCAATCTTTCGAGTACGTTGTCAATCTAAGAGAACCTCAAAATTTTGTGACGCCAAGACTTTTATTTCTCGAGAGGGAATCAGAAAACGTGCAAATTAGGGTAGCTTGCATTTTTCTTCTCCGCATTTAACTAACGTTCGAGTAGGAATTATAGTACATAAAATATAATATAACGGGCTCATATACATCTAAGATGAACGCAATAGTCCCAGAAAACTGAAGATAGAAGGTAAAAAAAGGTAAAGAGAAGGGTAAAAAAAAATGGGTAGCTAAAAGAATTGCTTTCACTTCAGTGAAGACAATCGCTCGATAAACAGATCAAACGTCTCATCGCGATCCAGCATGCTGACTCTCACATACTTGGCCTCCACACCAAAATGTTTACCACTTCGAGTTAGTATCTTGTAACTCTTTAGGTAATTCTCGCAGTCTTCGATCCCATCTCTCTCACATTTGAGCCATGCAAAAGCTGCAAGTACCCGACAAGCGAAAATAGAAAATTAGACAAAGTATAGTAATCTTTTCAATGAAGCAAATGACAAGATCAATGGTATGTTATCTTTGTTAAGTGGACTCATCGTGTTCGAATCAACATGAATGTAGATGGAGATTGTTCTTGATGGTGGTTGGCGAGTATGAATTTATTTAGTTTTATTTTTATTAGTTTTTAAAACTTTTTTCCAGTGGTTGTTTGCATTTTTTTTCATGTTTGTTTTTCGTGAAAACCCCTCACTAAGGGCTTTTGACATGATGAGTGAATAATTCTGCTAGATCATGTATTGACGAGTATGAATTTATTTAGTTTTATTTTTATTAGTTTTTAAAACTTTTTTCCTGTGGTTGTTTGCATTTTTTTTCATGTTTGTTTTTCGTGAAAACCCTTCACTAAGGGCTTTTGACACGATGAGTGAATAATTCTGCTAGATCATGTAAATGGCTCGTTTGGTACACAAGATTGGTAAGAATGGGTTCCCACTTCTCATTCATTACTTCTCATTCATGCCTACCAAACACAATGTGCCCATTTCCACCTCCTCCATTCTCACTTTTACGAGAACAGAAATGAGCCTTCCATTCCATTTCTTGCTTTATTTCCATTTCTTACTTTATTCCATTCTCACTTGTTCCCGTTCCCCGTACAAAATGAGGCGAAATATTAATGATGAAACGTCAAATTATTGGCAAATGCTAATCACTGAAAATTGAATATATATCTTCATTATATGTTAATAATGTAGACATACCATATTATGTTACCTAGACTTTCAAGTTCAAGAAATCAGATTCCTACATTTATTAGCACTATTAAATTGATTGTCGCTAGTAGTTTCAATATATATATATATATATATATAAGGTAATTATTCAAGAGAAGAATTGGATATATACCAGGATTAGCAGAAGTTTGCTGTCCAATGAAATTGCAGTGGTCAGACTCATACTCAGGCAAGCTAAACATCCCCGTCGTCTTTGCAACCTCCCTCAACCTCTCCCATCGATAGCCAAGGATTCTCCTCCCATAGTCGAAAAGCCTAGCTGCAGGATCAGTGACCGGGAGCTCATACCCATCAGAAACCACTTTCAGTATCTGTGCAGCTCGAACCTGTGAGTCCTTTGACACCCCGATTGTGTTCAGCTCTATGAACTTGGTCATTCTCTTTGCTACTTCCCGGTCCTTCACAAGTGCCCATCTGCTCATTGAGACAGTAAAAGTCAACACCTGTTTGATAATGATGTACATAATGTGGAATAAATGCTATCTCATCTTGCTAGATCAGACCCACACATTGAACTGTATGGATGCGAGACAAAATAGGAATAATTACGTTCAGATAGCATGAGGTATGGTGCAAGTGCACGAGTGACTCTGGACTAAGCGTATCTACATGGGTAACCCTGTAATTAATGATAATCCTGAGAGGGAACAAGTAAACAGATTCCAAGAACACCCACACAACTGCAATTTGTAGTCTCAGGGTTACTCCTGCAGGCATGCGTACTCGAGGATCACCACTATAATTACACCATCCTCAGTGTATCTGGATGTAACTATTTAATTAATCCAACAGAATATTGTCTTACCCTAGTCGAGTCCCAGCATGGCCGGTGCTCTTAGAGACGGTGAACAACATAATGTCGTTATCTGCTGGACCGGTGATAGCAGTGTACTGAGGCCAGTAGTAGGCGAGATCGTGGACCATCTTCCCCTTCTTGGAGTTCAATACAGGGTGTTTTATGTAACCATCAGGGTTGTTCGGAGAACATATGATCTCGATGTATGAGTCACCAGTGAAAGCAGAGGCATCGCCGGCCCACTTGAAAAGTCCTGACCGGAGGTAGTCGGTCACTGCTGAATAAGACTGCAAGAATGTTGCAGATTAATTTTTTTAATCAAGGTGTTATAATTACACTAGTCAGCAGATTAAGAGACATATGGACCAATAACTGCAGATCACATGTCTTGAGTTTTCATAGTGAAGGCAGACAGATGAGAGACATCAGATTCTTTACTTCAAAAGGAGAAAAAATAACAAAGAACACAAGATCAACAGAGCAGAAGATATAAAGAAATATATATATATATATATATATATATATATATATATATATATATATATATATTATATATATATATATAATATAGAGAAGAGAGAGAGAGAGAGAGAGAATGGAGACCTTGGTACCAAGTTGCTTAAAAGTAACTGGTAGTGATGTGGCCTAATCTTACCCCTACATCACACCTCGAAGATAGAGCCTCAACCACCATTCACCAACTCCAATATAGATATAGGGACAAGATTAGGCCCACATCAGTACCAAGTTTCTCCATTTTTCTCATATATATATATATATATATATATATATATATATATATATATATATATATATATATATATGAAATAAAATTAGTATTCAAGTTAATAACAGACAAATGAGAAGACTTGTTGCAAGTTTATTATCAGAACTTTTAATTAGGAGAACTAATCATGTGTGTTGTCTAGTTGAAACAAGACAAGAGAGTGGAGATGCAGTCAAAGAACTGTCATTGCGTTCATCATCATGAGCACGTTACTTTGCTTAGGCTTTGATAGTTTAAAAAAGTGAGGTCGGTTTTAGGATCAAAGTTGAACATTTAGATGACATAATTCTAATTAACAAATTAATGATGGAGCACTTGCCATCACATGCAAAAAGAGGCAAGACAGTGGAGGAAAGCAGACAAAGAAGCAGGCTTTGAAAGTTAGACTTTAAACTACTAAGAATGCTTATGATAGTGGTGTGCCTAAACTAACTTTTAAACCTAATAATCATTAAGCCATAGGACATGGCAACCAAAAAGGAGGTAGAATAAAGTGCATACAGACCCCAAAAATCATAGGAATAAAGGCAATCATAAACCTTGAACATATATAGTCAATTAGCAAATGGTTTAAGCATCAATGGTATCTAAATAGTTGCGATTCGTTCTTAATAAAACATCCATTCCCATTTTTCACTCAATATGACTCGTAACTGTATATTAGATCATAGATGATTATGACAAAAGAAGTGGTCCCTCTACGGAGTAGCGATAAGATCTCACTGCGAGGGTAAATTACACCGTTAAGGAAAATAAAAATTTGTTAAGGTGTCATTTGCTAACTAGACCTCTAAAGACTACAATTAACCGTGAATACAAATCTTATCAAACACCCCCAATCCAAGCAAGGTGTTCTGAACCATAAAGAGGGCAATTAAAATTTCCGAACTAATAGATTTGTACTCATTAACAACTGCTACTCAGTTTAATTGATGAAATTAGGAGAGTGTACCGAGTAATAAGGGACGGCAGAGACAACACTCATGGGCTCGGTTGCATCTGAAGGGGAGAGAGCGTATAGCGCCGCCTGAAACAGCTGCGTCGATCCGGTGCCAACGATTATATGTCGATCGTCAGCGACAGCATTGCCGACCAAGTTGTGGAGACGACGGATTTGGAGAGCGAAGTCAGGCTCAAGAAACCAGCACACGTTTGTGACGTCCGAGAAGTAGCTCATTGTTTGCCATCCTGGGATCACAACGGTTCCTTGTCCTCCCATTGTGCGCCAGAATGACTCGAACATAGTAGGGTCACCACTGCAAAAAAGAATTTGCAAAATAAAATAAAATAAAAATAAAAATAAAAGAAAATTATCACCATCATATAAAGCCATTATAATCATAGTTAAAAGTTTCTTTAACCTTACAAAGATAAATGCAATATTTTGTTTGGAAATTATATATCTTCTCCTGGAAAAAGGGAACAATTTACCGGTATAAATTACATGGAAATATTGGGAAAGAGGGAAAATTTGCCTCAAAAGAACTCAGAAAACTCTATTTTTAGAAAAATGATGATCATAGCCACCTGTATTTTTGAGGAAAAAAAAATATATTGAAGGTTTTGCTTGCAGAAACAACAAAACCACACCCAAAGAAAGAAAAAAAAACGTCTAAGACTAGTCATCAGACTGAATAACCATCAGGTGGGACCCAGCCATAACCGTCTTCAACCGCTACGGAAGCTCACCATAGATGCACTCATAACTACACTTCCAAAATTTATTCTTTTATTTTTTTTTTACCATATGCATAAAAAAGGCTTCTTCAATTTTTTTAAAAAATATACTCACTGATCGAGATTAATGATGGAGTCCTTGGAAACGGGTTTGGACCCGCTAGTCGAGCTGACGCTGATATCCTGCCCCGCAACCTTCACCCCCTTAACCTGCTCCACCACCATCCTACCTCCCTCCTCCTCCAAAAAGCTTTCTTTTTCTTCTTCTTCTTCCTCTCTCTTCAAAAAGCTCCCACCTTTTTCCTTCTCTTCAAAAACCCAACTCTCTTTATAGACGCAAGACGTCACAAAATAAACAGCGAGCGAGGCGGCGACACCAAAGCTGGCGATTTCCCTTATCAGAGATCAAGTTTTTGCCTAAAATAGGAAGTGGGTTCCTATTCTTGGGAGATTTTTGCGATCTGGGTCTCATTTTGGGCCCAAAGAGTTCGGCTAGAGGGTTCGTTAGTGCTGTGGAGAAACTCAGGAGAATCTTTACGGTGTTGGAAGAGACCTGAGGGGAGATCTTTTGGGAAGTGCAGTAAGGAGACAATGAAGAGATTGAAGGGTGTTTTGAGAGATGGCGGGTTTATATAAAAGGTAGAGCTTTTTTGTTGCCTTCGATTTTGAACTGTGTGTACTTTTTTTAAGGCCCTGTTTGGATTCGCTCCCGATGGAGAGAAATTGAGTGAACATAAGATGACGGAAGTAGAGAGTAATATATAGAACTTGTTCGCAGGTTTCAAGTTAGGTGGAAAAGTTTTACACCGCTTCCACATCAGATTTTTCGTGGTCACATAGGATATAAGCTTTCCGTCTGTTTTTTTTCCCATCTTTGGTTCGCTAGGGTTGAAGAAGGGAAACTCGGTGAAAATCGTCGCCACATCAGATTTTTTTCTCTCCCTCATTTTCTTCCTCAACCTCGTGAAATCGATGAAAACTGCAGCCACGTCAGCTTTTTGCCATATAAACAAAAGTTTTCCCTTTTTTTCCATGCGAACCAAACACAAAAAAAATAAGGGAAAAATGCTTCCAGCCCCCAAAAGCCAAGTGAATGTGCTTCCCACCCCCAAGACTTGGTCAATGGGTGTTTTACCCCTAAAAATAAAGATGTTATTCTCTGAGCCCCCAAAACACAAAACCCAAGACATTAAAACATGTGAAGACCATAATACCCTTCTTTCTCTCTTTCTTTTTTTATTAAAATATGATGAGGATTATTTTATTATTTCTCTCTCTCTCTCTCTCTTTATCATGATTTAGGGAAAAATGCTTCCAGCCCCCAAAAGCCAAGTGAACATGCTTCCCACCCCCAGGACTTGGTCAATGGGTGTTTTACCCCTAAAAATAAAGATTGTGTTCTCTGAGGTCCCAAAACACAAAACCCAAGACATTAAAACATGTGAAGACCATAATACCCTTCTCTCTCTCTTTCTTTTTTTATTAAAATATGATGGGGATTATTTTATTATTTTTGTTTTCTCTCTCTCTTTATCATGATGTACCAAGAGGATAGTTGAAATGATTAATGAGGATTATTTTATTATTTTCGTTTTTTATTATTTTGGTTGTTTGTATTGGGAGGTTGTTAAAGTTACGGGTTGATTATTAAGGTTACGGGTTGGTTGTTAAGGTTAAGGGTTTGTTGTTAAGGTTATGAATCCTCTCTCTCTCTTTCTTTTTTTATTAAAATATGATGGGGAGATTATTTTATTATTTTTGTTTTCTCTCTCTCTCTTTATCATGATGTACCAAGAGGATAGTTGAAATGATTGATGAGGATTATTTTATTATTTTCGTTTTTTATTATTTTGGTTGTTTGTATTGGGAGGTTGTTAAAGTTACGGGTTGATTGTTAAGGTTACGGGTTGGTTGTTAAGGTTAAGGGTTTGTTGTTAAGGTTATGAATCCTCTCTCTCTCTCTTTCTTTTTTTATTAAAATATGATGGGGATTATTTTATTATTTTTGTTTTCTCTCTCTCTTTATCATGATGTACCAAGAGGATAGTTGAAATGATTGATGAGGATTATTTTATTATTTTTATTTTTTATTATTTTGGTTGTTTGTATTAGGAGGTTGTTAAAGTTACGGGTTGATTGTTAAGGTTACGGGTTGGTTGTTAAGGTTAAGGGTTTGTTGTTAAGGTTATGAATCCTCTCTCTCTCTCTTTCTTTTTTTATTAAAATATGATGATGATTATTTTATTATTTCTCTCTCTCTCTCTCTCTCTCTCTCTCTAATAATAAAAAACGAAAATAATAAAATAATCCTCATCAATCATTTCAACTATCCTCTTGGTACATCATGATAAAGAGAGAGAGAAAACAAAAATAATAAAATAATCCCCATCATATTTTAATAAAAAAAGAAAGAGAGAGAGAGGATTCACAACCTTAACAACAAACCCTTAACCTTAACAACCAACCCGTAACCTTAACAATCAACCCGTAACTTTAACAACCTCCCAATACAAACAACCAAAATAATAAAAAACGAAAATAATAAAATAATCCTCATCAATCATTTCAACTATCCTCTTGGTACATCATGATAAAGAGAGAGAGAAAACAAAAATAATAAAATAATCCCCATCATATTTTAATAAAAAAAGAAAGAGAGAGAGAGAGGATTCATAACCTTAACAACAAACCCTTAACCTTAACAACCAACCCGTAACCTTAACAATCAACCCGTAACTTTAACAACCTCCCAATACAAACAACCAAAATAATAAAAAACGAAAATAATAAAATAATCCTCATCAATCATTTCAACTATCCTCTTGGTACATCATGATAAAGAGAGAGAGAGAAAATAAAAATAATAAAATAATCCCCATCATATTTTAATAAAAAAAGAAAGAGAGAGAAAGAGGATTCATAACCTTAACAACAAACCCTTAACCTTAACAACCAACCCGGAACCTTAACAATCAACCCGTAACTTTAACAACCTCCCAATACAAACAACCAAAATAATAAAAAACGAAAATAATAAAATAATCCTCATCAATCATTTCAACTATCCTCTTGGTACATCATGATAAAGAGAGAGAGAGAAAATAAAAATAATAAAATAATCCCCATCATATTTTAATAAAAAAAGAAAGAGAGAGAAAGAGGATTCATAACCTTAACAACAAACCCTTAACCTTAACAACCAACCCGTAACCTTAACAATCAACCCGTAACTTTAACAACCTCCCAATACAAACAACCAAAATAATAAAAAACGAAAATAATAAAATAATCCTCATCAATCATTTCAACTATCCTCTTGGTACATCATGATAAAGAGAGAGAGAAAACAAAAATAATAAAATAATCCCCATCATATTTTAATAAAAAAAGAAAGAGAGAGAGAAGGGTATTATGGTCTTCACATGTTTTAATGTCTTGGGTTTTGTGTTTTGGGGGCTCAGAGAACAGATTATTTATTTTTAGGGGTAAAACGCCCATTGACCAAGTCCTGGGGGTGGGAAGCATGTTCACTTGGCTTTTGGGGGCTGGAAGCATTTTTCCCAAAAAATAAATACATTGGTTTCCCACCATTTTTTTATACGAACCAAAGCGAAACAATCTATTTATTGAAAAAGTTTAGAAACTCAAAACTTGTGTTTTTATACATGAAAATGCATTTCCCTATATCTAGGAAACGAACCAAATAGCCCCTTAAGGAAAATAGTCGGGAACTTATTTCAACACTATTGGAAAGTTTAATAAAGTCAAGCGGATGTAAAAGAATATATATAGATTTACATAATTAACATTATATGTGTAATAGTCTTTTTTGATAAAAAAAGTAACTTTGTTATTTTGTAATAGTTATCTTAACTTCACATTGGTCACACGCTTAGTTATTAACTTCTATTAACCCTAATTCTAACAGGTCCTAAAGGCTAAATTATCGATTGGTATTTTTAATAGGATCATATTAATATCAACGTTGACGTCAATTTAATATTGTTTTATATGGGAAAAAAATATTCAAGTTGGCATATTTAGTGGTAGGAAAAAATATCTAGTATGATATTAATTTTTATATTAATGTCATAATATCACAAGTGAAAGAAAAAATATATATCATATTGAACAAAGAGTTCTAAAAAATGCTAATTTAATAATTTAAACGTTTTGAGGGGTACACAATGTAAATATGATACAAATCTCAATCCCTTCTAAGATTAATGTGGGATGCATATGACTTGCACGTGGTCAAATATTTTGATTTTTTATTTGGTGGTAAATGTTTTCGTCAAAAGTTGCTTTTTCCATTGCTGTTAAATCTGTTACACCGTTTATCGATTACAAGTTCAAACTGAAAGAAAATTAATCTTTTTATAAGATCTTTTTACAATAAAAAGGTGAATATTACAACTTTATCCAATAAAACACAGCAGCAGTTTATCTCTTGCTGCTTTGTGTGGGATCTTTACCTGTACCGGGGACGCGTTAGTCGTGGACCACCGCAGATCAAATCCGGTTGACAAGGTTAATTATGCTCTTGTTTCACGAAGAAAACAATCGTAGCAGTGACAATCACGACCAAGCGAGATTGTGGCTCTTCTCGAGATTAAAACCAAGTTTAATCCGGAGGAAAGATGGGGAAAGAATCTCAAATCTTTTGAAGGTTTTTTCTTTATGAAAAAGTTCGCCAAGATCTGCCAATTCTCCTCTGAAATCCGTGGTCTACTGTTCAAATTGACAGCACCTCGCCCTCCGATTTCAGATCCTCTCAAATGAAGACCATGGACTTCTATTTATAGGCTTTTGTCACCATGTTTTCTGATAAGATCAGGTATTTTGACGTCATCTGTAGTTTATAACCGCACATGCGCACTTAAGGATAGCTTCAGAATAGTTGGGGAGGCTCTGGGACGAAAGAATCCTTAAAAAATATTGAAACCTGCGTTTTGGGAAGTTTTGGGAGCGGATCACCACCTGATGGCTCGGGGGGGGGGGAGCCACCAAATGGTGGCTCGTAACCTTGCGTGCCGGTTTGTACCACCTCGAGTATTTTGGCTATAACTCTCTCGTTCGATTTCGGAATGAGTTGATTCAAGATGTGTTGGAACGCTGACGAAAAGACCTACAACTTTTGTCTTGAGTTTCTTCAGAATCAAATCGTATCATGGCCGAAATGTCAGTTCTTTGTGTGAGCCACCAAATGGTAGCTCGGAGCTGTGCGAGCCACCAAATAGTGGCTCCCCACCC